CTTTACACAATTCTCTTAATACAATACTTTGAGCAGATAATTAATACTAAACTACTCTATAATATAGGAAGATTACATAATTGTTAGTACAGGCAATATGACAAAGTATACAGGAACTGTACTTCACTACATACATATGAGTCGTATACATAAAAAAAAACAATACGGGGAGCAGGGAACTAACCGCTACACTCGCTATACCAGCCAGCGAGTGCTGATATATGTATATATATATGAATATATGTATCTGTATGACACGTACATACGAATACCCCCCCCCCCGTCTCACTCTATAGTATTTACCTATTACACTAGTACAAGTAAAGTGTTTTAAAACACTGTTAATCTATGATCACAAATGGACTACACACAATAAGATATGAGCCATAATAATATATACTATTTAACGTGTAACAGTTTTCACGACAGCAGTTGAGGTTCTACCTTGATGTTCACTAAATTGTGAGCTAGTTATGGACTAGTCTCTATTACTAGGCTATAGCAAGGAGGGACAGGAACGACGGCATGCTCCGGAGCAAGGGAGGCATCATAGGAAGGAAAAAGTGCAGTGGGAGCTCCAATAGCGAGGACAGATGGTTCTGTTACCGAGATAGGAAGATGTGCAAGAACAAGAACGGAGGGTGAGCAACCCGTCCTCTTAAAAATAACGTCACTTTTGGCTCGTATGCGCACTATGGCCAAATTTGGACGTAATTTGAAATGAAATCGACTCACAAAAGTGACGTACTGTTCCGTTTTCTGTTTGAGTCGTCCTCCTCGGCAAGCTTAGAAGAGGAACTTTCAATTAACGTTTTGAAACTTTATGAGAATTTCCTGCCCACCTAACCTATCAGAGGACCCTTAACTTAATGTTGTTGAAAAAAAAATCCCTAATTTATTTTCAATTTTTTTCATTTTCAAATTACGTCCATATTCGGCCATACGGGCAAACGGCCAAAAGCGACGTTCTTTTTAAGAGGACAGGTTGCCACAGGGAAAGGATTAATGCCATCTTCCCCACTAGGGAGGAAGAGGGAGAGAGAGACTCAAATTTTTTAGTTACTCGAGGTGACACGGTAGTCACCGCGAAACTTTTTTTTTTTTGTTATTATTATTTTCTACCACAGACGTGGCCACACATTTACAATGCTAACTAGCATATATACATTTTCTTCTGTCCTCCATGGACAGGGTGAAAGATTTGTCAAACATACAGTTCAAAAGATTTATTGAACCACAGAAGGTGATCGTAGTGCTTTTAAAATGTTAGGCTCAGCTACATACGTAAATACATAGATACACAGATTTATGAATGCATTAATGTGAATTTATAATGGTGAAATGTAATTCTGATCAGCCTTATACTTTATACACATACATACATATATATTTGTCTCTTTTACTCTGACAGGGTGAGATAGCTGACAAGAGAAACTAGTGTGCAATTAAGAACATAACCACTGAAGGTGATTAAGATGCTTTTACAAGCTCAGGTTATATAGTTACATTACATGGTTAATCTAGGGTACAAGTCCAATATATCATCAAGTGTTCCAGTACTCATATAGTAGTTACAGAGTTCAGCATACCTCAGCCCAGGAGGGCGAAAGTCAGACAATATGGGACATTCTACAATATAATGTTCAAGTGAGTGCATGTTTTCTCTTTCACAAAGTTGACACATTGTGTACTCGACATTTGGGTTTTGAGAAAGCTGCCGCGGAACTGTGAGGTCGACCCTTCCGAAGGAAGAGGCTGAGGAAGGGAGAAGATCCGAAGGGGTAACCAAAGTCAAAGCCTGCTCTAGGTAGCCGGACACAGCCGGAGCTATGGAGCCCCATTTTTGAACACAGTCCAACTCAGGTGGGCATTTCACAACCTACCCCACGAGCCCGAGAGGGAGAAATGTGGTCAGAATTAAACATGAAAGTCGAAATTAGACTTGACTGCCATATGCACCCATATCCACCATAGAGCCCAAGGGGTGGCACAAGCACACAGGCAAGCAACCTCGGAAGTAACCGGAACAGTATACGTAGGTCACCATCGAAGGGCTAAATGGCATCCTAGGAACACCAACTCTGCAGTGGCCCACTTGACCTAATGTCTAACTAGGCGGCCTAACCAGAAGAGTTGATTAATTCAGGTGGGCCACAGCGAACCACCCGCTTTATCCTGGTTTACCCGGATAAAGCTACCTGCTTTATCCTACCATTGCAGCGTGTTGCCTGTTACCAATCGTTCGTTACGGCTCGTGACCCTACAACAGCCAAGCTTTAATTATGTCTAGGGATACTACAACTGCTGTTCTCTTAGAGCGGGTCACCAGTGTAACCCCATGATTGATACAAAGCACCTAATTAAAAGTATATCTCCCTTAGGACTGAAGAAATATACGTATGCATTTTATATATATATATATATATATATATATATATATATATATATATATATATATATATATATATATATATATATATATATATATATATATTCATATATTATTAAATATGACCGAAAAAGTAAGATTAATAATTCTAACACGAATTTTCTCAATCTTTCGTACATTACGCTTCACTGTTGGAGGTAAATCAAAAATCACTTCTCCAAAATTCATTTTTATTTCTAGTCTGACGCGACACGGGCGCGTTTCGTAAAACTTATTACATTTTCAAAGACTTCACAAATACACAACTGATTAGAACTTACGTCTCTCTGATATTATATCTACATTTGAGTGAGGTGGGAAGGATGATGTGGCATTAACACAAGACAGAACAGGGGATATTAATAGGGTATTAAAAGTATCAACACAAGACAGAACAGAAACAATGGGTATTGAATAGAAGTGTTTGTAGAAAGCCTATTGGTCCATATTTCTTGATGCTTCTATATTGGAGCGGAGTCTTGAGGTGGGTAGAATATAGTTGTGCAATAATTGGCTGTTGATTGCTGGTGTTGACTTCTTGATGTGTAGTGCCTCGCAAACGTCAAGCCGCCTGCTATCGCTGTATCTATCGATGATTTCTGTGTTGTTTACTAGGATTTCTCTGGCGATGGTTTGGTTATGGGAAGAGATTATATGTTCCTTAATGGAGCCCTGTTGCTTATGCATCGTTAAACGCCTAGAAAGAGATGTTGTTGTCTTGCCTATATACTGGGTTTTTTGGAGCTTACAGTCCCCAAGTGGGCATTTGAAGGCATAGACGACGTTAGTCTCTTTTAAAGCGTTCTGTTTTGTGTCCAGACACAAAACAGAACGCTTTAAAAGAGACTAACGTCGTCTATGCCTTCAAATGCCCACTTGGGGACTGTAAGCTCCAAAAAACCCAGTATATAGGCAAGACAACAACATCTCTTTCTAGGCGTTTAACGATGCATAAGCAACAGGGCTCCATTAAGGAACATATAATCTCTTCCCATAACCAAACCATCGCCAGAGAAATCCTAGTAAACAACACAGAAATCATCGATAGATACAGCGATAGCAGGCGGCTTGACGTTTGCGAGGCACTACACATCAAGAAGTCAACACCAGCAATCAACAGCCAATTATTGCACAACTATATTCTACCCACCTCAAGACTCCGCTCCAATATAGAAGCATCAAGAAATATGGACCAATAGGCTTTCTACAAACACTTCTATTCAATACCCATTGTTTCTGTTCTGTCTTGTGTTGATACTTTTAATACCCTATTAATATCCCCTGTTCTGTCTTGTGTTAATGCCACATCATCCTTCCCACCTCACTCAAATGTAGATATAATATCAGAGAGACGTAAGTTCTAATCAGTTGTGTATTTGTGAAGTCTTTGAAAATGTAATAAGTTTTACGAAACGCGCCCGTGTCGCGTCAGACTAGAAATAAAAATGAATTTTGGAGAAGTGATTTTTGATTTACCTCCAACAGTGAAGCGTAATGTACGAAAGATTGAGAAAATTCGTGTTAGAATTATTAATCTTACTTTTTCGGTCATATTTAATAATATATGTCTACAGGAAAGACTGCTACCAAAATATACTAATATATATATTCAATATACATCTCAATAATATATTTATGAACAGAGGTTCACTATTAAAGCAAACATCAAAATATTGTCTCTCCCAGAATAAAGATCTACATGACACAACAACAAGTAAACAGACTTATCTCCCACATGTTATTCCTTCTGGTCCCTTGAAGCTACTGACTACTCGCGCACCGTCTCTCATAATTCTCTCCCCCTCTGCCTCATCCAGGATGAGGGATGGAAACTAAAGACTTTTTAATATTTAAAACTAATTGAACAACCACTTGTTCTCAAAACACATAAGAATGCAAATAAAATATAATAGTTACTTTCAAAATATATAAGTTACAATGCCACCTGCTTAATTACAGTAAATTAACACAATATATAATATTAAAAGGTGACATCTGGAACTCCCATAACTGAACAGGTCCAGCAGACGTGTGAAGAGCCACCGCGCTCCTGTCCCCGCTGACATTGCCACACCACACGATAATTTACAAAAATATAATATGTGTACATATACAGGTAATGATATAATGGAACAAAATAAGTTTATTTAAATTTATATACGTATTCAGCTAGGAGTACGTAACATTGCCCCCCCAAGGGCCACAGCCGCTGGATAGGCTCCACTATCATATAAGGAAACATACGGGGGAAATGTATGGGTCACCATGCACGATTAACAGAGGAGTGCAGTTCGTGTGTGTGTGTGCACCATCACAGCAGGCTGGAGAGGGAAGCAGGAGCCACCAGACCAACCCACATAAAAGAACCCTTCACCTCTTCACGGAACCATTTACTGAGGGGTTTATTATAAATCCCAGCTCACTTTTAGCTTTATTTCATGCATTACTGTCTTTGCCTCAGGTGGATGCTCACCTTGCTGTTATTACTGCATATTCGAGAATCAAAGTCATTAATGTATATTATTTAAAGAAGTTGGTCCTGCACAGAAGACTGAGAGGATCTGACATTGGTATTTCCATGCATTGCAGTCGAGTTGATGAAGTGCAGTTGCGACCGAAGAAAGTAATTTGGTCGAAGTATATGGAATAATATGATATAGGGGTAAATATGAGTCCAGAGAGACTGGATAGTTTTTGCCGATATAAAATGTGGCTCTGGATATAAAGAGATGGATATATAATTGGACGGTTCATACTTTTATATCAGTTTCTCCATTTTCATAAGCTTTGTTTGCCACGCCTCGTTGTCTCGACCTTTGGGCTCTGTCTTCCACGTCTTGCAGTGTTTCAGGAAGCGGCTGGTTATTGGTCTCTGGGAGGAAGATGACCATGAAGCCGCCCACTATGCCAGAACACCCGAAGGTCACCCCCGCCGCCCACCACGCGTACCGAGCCTGAAGGAAGGAAGGAAGAGGAGAAAGCGTTCAGTCATTACACCTATATAGCACTGGGAAGGGATCAGGGTAAGGATTTGGGATGGGACAGGGGGGAAGGAATGGTGCACTTGGACGGTCGGGGGATTAAACGTCGACCTGCATGAAGCGAGACCGTCGCTCTACCGTCCAGCCCAAGTGGTCAGAACCAAAAAAGACAAAAAGTGTTACCGAGCCTGAAACAACGCATATATCAACGCGAGAATACATGAAACTGCATAAGGCATATTTTTTCCTATAGGAGTTAGCCGTTATTTATATCCTGCATCAAAATACTTAGCCTAAGCCTGATACAATCCAGCGTTTCTATACGTTATGATTCCCAGTAATTTGTTTCACAAATCTACAACGATATTTCCAAATTATTATTTATCCTGGTATTTCCTGAGTCTTAGCTTACATAATTGGTATATGTTTTTCATATTTTATTTTATCCTCGAATATTCAGAAACTATAATATATATATATATATATATATATATATATATATATATATATATATATATATATATATATATATATATATATATTTACAAGAATGTTCCCACTGAGAGGTATACCCAGCTTCTCGGCGAACATACATTGAGTTTACTTTAGTCCTAGACTATGTTCGGAACTAAAGTAAACTCGCTACTTGGCGTAATCGCCCCCAAGTAATATGCGTAATATGCCTCAAGTCCAACACAAAACCAAATCCCCTTTTATCCATTCGTATACTTTAGTCCTGTCGCCCTTTACTCTGTCTTTCTAGAGAATGCAACGGATTTTTTTTAACCAAACACAGCCCTGTACTTATAACTATCGTAGAAGGAAGGCGAGTGTACTTACAACCACGGTGGTAATTACGGAAGTGTACTTACAACCATATTGGTAACTAGGGGAGTGTACTTACAACCACAGTAACATGGGGGAGTGTACTTACAACCACAGTAACAAGGGGAGTGTAATTACAACCACAGTAATATGGGGGGGAGTGTACTTACAACCACAGTAACATGGGGGAGTATACTTACAACCACAGTAACATGGGGGAGTGTACTTACAACCACAGTAACAAGGGGAGTGTAATTACAACCACAGTAATATGGGGGAGTGTACTTACAACCACAGTAACATGGGGGAGTATACTTACAACCACAGTAACAAGCGGGAGTGTACTTTCAACCACAGTAACGAGATGAGTGTACTTACAACCACAGTAACGTGGGGGAGTGTACTTACAACCACAGTAACAAGGGGGAGTGTACTTACAACCACAGTAACAAGCGGGAGTGTACTTACAACCACAGTAACGAGATGAGTGTACTTACAACCACAGTAACATGGGGGAGTGTACTATCAACCACGGTAACAAGGGGGGGAGTGTACTTACAACCATGGTAGTAACGAGGGGAGCAAATATGAATCCAATGCTGCCCATCATATTGACAAAAGCAAAGCCTCGTGACCGGGCTTCTGTGGGAAACAGCTCCGGCGCGAACACTAAGTTCACCTGAAAGATCAGTTATATTATTTACAACGGTCTCAAGATGATATTCATAATGTTTATCATGTAACACAGACCAAAAAATATTAAAAAACTGACACAAATTTTATTATATAACTGTGTGTAATTTATTATGTGTGAAATGTAAAAGAAATGTAGATCTTAAGAAACTCAAAGTGGAACTCATTTTCTAAAATGAGTTTCACAATGAGGACACTTTTAGGGCATAGGCTTTTCTATGGAATTAAAATAGTTGTATGTATATCTGTTAAACGGCCTGACCTAAATATATCAATTTAGATAACAGAAACTGTTATCTAAATCGCAGAGTCGCAGAGGTATGAAAGAACTCACTCAAAGCATAACTTAACTAATCTTTGGTACTCGGGGAATTATAAAGAGTGAAAGAAAACATCAAATATTATAATGGACATACTCTGTGTTCAACCTCGTACGTTATATTACGAATAAAAACATTATTGTGAAAACATTATGAATAAAAGCATTATTATGAAAACATTATGAATAAAACCATTATTATGAGAATATTATGAATAAAAGTATAAAAACAACAACATAATTTCATCCACAACCGCCTAAGCAATAGATACATAGTAAACACAGTCGCCAATTATATTAACAAAACAGAGTAACCAAGTACAAATGTTAAACATATAAATTAACAATTAAACTATCAGTTATTGCAAACTTATAATATTAAAAATATAATATTCATTGAGAAAACCCACAGGAGCCGTGATACAAATTTGAACCAATGCGCTGGGTGTTTCCGGGCACTCGCTCTATTGATATACTTCTGTGGATTTTCTCATTGATATATCACGCTACTGTGACTTCTCTGTGTATAATTGTTCGGCGATCGAAGGTGACTGTCTCTTAGGAGTAGCAACTGAAGTTGAATCATATTCTAGCGAGAAGTTATGTACTTTTAATCATGAACATCAGATTAAAATGTGTAATTTAGTTCAATGTCAGGAGAATAATTACCAGGAGAAAGTATTAAGTTATTACGACTATATAGCACTTGGAGAGGCTAAGGATTTAGAAAAGGACGGAGGAAAGGAATGATGCCCAATCAGTTGGATGGTCGGGGATTGAACGACATGCAAGAAGTGAGACCATATCACTGAATCAAGTGATGATTCAAGGTATTACCTTGAGTCATATAGGTATGGTAAATAAAATAAGGTAAGGTAAAGTTAGGCAATATATTTAGCTTCGGAAAAGTTTCATTAACTTTCTCGCTGCCATAATTGTCATGTAACCAAGTTTGGACACTCGTTACGTCATCTATTAAATATAAGCTGCACTCCTCCCATTCTTCAATGCCAATGTTAACATTGATATTTGACAAATTAAAGATAAAGTTAATTAAAAAATTATGGAAAGAACTTACTTGGAATGCTCCTGCCACCATCAGAAAACCTGCCATTACAAGGATCCACTTGGCCCAATAATAATCTGAAAATCGTAATAATATTCCAGATTTAACCAATGCTGAAAATGTATGCCAGAATAGCCCAAAACCTCTTATAATATTTCTGGTGACTGTGAAGAGGGGCATTAGGATAATATATACAAAACAAACAGTAAAAACAAAAATCAAAACCAGTTTATCAACTTTCACTATCTTTGAAGGCACGGAAAAGAATAAAATAAATTACATTTTGATATGAAAACAACAAGGAAAGCATCAAATCCCGCCTGGCCCCCGGCCGGGCTTGTGGATTGGAAGAACTCCCAGAAACCCCATCCAGGTACAGGGGCATCAGATGCAAAATGGCTGCACATAATTGAGAACTTACCAGTTGATACCAAAAGATCCAGGAAAAGTAATACGCTTCCACCAAAGAGCCCCAGGCCTACTATGGTGCGTCGGCCTAGGTAGGGTGTAACTGGGGTGGTCACTAGTACTGCAATCCCGTCCATCAATCCCGTGAGCGCCACGTACAGGAAAGGGTTGGTGCTAAAAGATAAGGAAAAAATCTTCGTTCATGTACACTTTCTTCTGGCTGGCCACAGCAAACATTTATGTGTTGATAACTTACGACACTTTGGTTTGGTGTTGGGCTTAATGCCTACCACCTTCTGAAGAGTTATTAAGGCAGCCACAAGTGCTTCCTGACCAACCAACAAGAATACTTTGGTTCTGTACAATGCCCAGAGCCGAAAAGTTAACTCTTAACTGCATATACACCGAGAAGCGCAGTATATATATATATATATATATATATATATATATATATATATATATATATATATATATATATATATATATATATATATATATATATATATATATATATATATATATATATATATATATATATATATATATATATATATATATATATATATATATACATATATATATATATATATATATATATATATATATATATATATATATATATATATATATATATATATATATATATATATATATGTCATTAGCAAATAAAAAGTAATATGCTTGTATGTCAAAATTAGTAGGAGCCATGAGGAGGATTCGAACCCGCTGACTTGGTAGACTTGGTACTCTCAGATTAGCGGGAGTAACCACTACGTCACGACATGGATGGAGCAACTTGAGGTCTCAGGTTGTCCCAGCAACAACCTCGGACTCCTCTGAACCCTCTGGGATTCCTGAGGCTTACATCTGAAGCCTATAACTAACTTGGGTGGTGCGCGGGTTCGAATCCACCTCATGGTTCTTGCTGATTTTCTCACTGCTACATCACATTAATGTGATTTCATTGTGCATGCCTATATGTCAGTAAATAACAAACATCCAAAAATAATGCCAATAATTTGTGATTCTTAGCTTCAAATCGTCGTACAAATAGAAAATATTCTATATTTATATGGACATTTGAACATAAAAAATTACATATCTCAAAGAAAGAATGCCCAGCAGATACGAATGTTGGAAGTATATCTGTCACAGGGTTAGAACAGTGTCTTGTAGGTCAGGTTATCTTGAGGTTATCTTGAGATGATTTGACTGACCTTGACTAGGTCAGTCGACTAGTAAATTTGTGTTGAATTGGGGTTAGGCTAAAATATTCCAATTAACAGGAAGTACCTGGTAAACTACACACAGAGATCACATTAACGTGATGCATCAAATGAACAATGATTAAGGCAGTGTCTGGGATGCTCCCGGACGTAGGTTCGAATCCTCGTCACGGCCCTTGTGGATTTGTTCGTTTACCTGGTAAAGTTGTTAGCATTGATGGCGACACCCAGGAAGAGGCCGCTCTGAAGGAACCAGAGCAGGGAGGTCACTAGCAGGATGGTCCTCATGCTCGGGCTACGAACATACAGAGACAGCTGATGAAAAAACTCCACCAGGCCAGATGACGTAGGTGCTTCGCTTTTAACTTGATTTTTTCTCTTGCTGGCCTGAGGATATGATATTATTGGAACGGAATCTTCTTGGAGTGTGTATTGAGGCCAACAAGGCGAGTAGAGTAGGTTCAAGATCAAGTATGTTTACTGAGACAAGAAAAAAAATACATCTCAAAGGAATAGAGTAGCTTAGGCTATTTCTAACCCCCCCCCTAGTATAGCAGGTGATCATTAGTAACGCGTCAATTAAGTCAGGCTACTCGCGAGATAAATTTGTGTGGGAGGAAAAATGCTTAGAAGTCAAACGTTGCATTCAAATAAACTTTCTCTCTTTCCCTCTCCCAACTTAGTGTTCTAATTCAACAGCGGAAACACTTCTACGATATAACATTGGGATATCAACTGTAAAAACATTTAATTTCAACAATAATATCCTTTAAGTTTTCAACCATAATATTGTGATATCAACCATAATAACGTTGAGATATCAACTATAACAAACATTAAGATAATAATAATAATAACATTGGAATATCAATCATAATAACATTGGCATATTAACCAAAATAACATTGGGATATGAACCATAATAACATTGGGATATCAACCATAATAACATTGGGATATCAATCATAATAACATTGGCATATTAACCAAAATAACATTGGGATATCAATCATAATAACATTGGGATATCAACCAAAATAACATTGGGATATCAACCATAATAATATTGGGATATCAACCATAATAACATTGGGATATGAATTATAATAGCATTGTGATTTCAACCATATTTACCTCAATTATATTATTCACTATGGAATAAACGTTTTCTGAAAGCTTCACATTGTTCAGACGAACAGCTTTTTGCAGAACTGTAGTGGCTTCCTCGGCCCTGCCCTGTTGGACCAACCACCGGGGCGACTCGTCCACAATGCTGTTGAGAATAATGTATTATATACAACTGTAGTGGCTTCCTCGGTCCTGCCCTGTTGGACCAACCACCGGGACGACTCGTCCACAATGCTGTTGAGAACAATGTATTATATACAACTGTAGTGGCTTCCTCGGCCCTGCCCTGTTGGACAAGCCACCGGGGCGACTCGTCCACAATGCTGTTGAGAACAATGTATTATATACAAATGTAGTGGCTTCCTCGGCCCTGCCCTGTTGGACCAACCACCGAGACGACTCGTCCACAATGCTGTTGAGAACAATGTATTATATACAACTGTAGTGGCTTCCTCGGCCCTGCCCTGTTGGATCAACTACCGGGGCGACTTGTCCACAATGATAATGAGAATCGTGTAATTTGTGCAACTAACAGTATTTTGTAGCTAATGAAGAGTTTCTTCAGATCTTATATATATGACTAGTGAAGGCTGATATCATTTATGAAGTCGTCAAATGTTGCTGATAGATGAGAAGTTGGTGGAGCTTGATGAAAGATGCTGATATTACATATCTTGTCAGTGACTAGTAAATATTAATGACATGTTAGCATTGGATAAAATAACCAGTTCCAGAATCTGGCACTAGGACTAAATCCAAATATATAAAACAAATATTAAGGATTTAATGAAGATTTAAAAATCGGTAAATAGTTATTCTGTGAAGGAGGATGAGTTTGACAAGATCGGTGATACATTTTTAATATTTTTATGAGAGACAAATATTTCGTGAAGGTTTGAACTAGAAGATGTTATGAAGGTCAGATTAAGATCACATATTTGGCGGAATAATTATCAACGTAACACACTTCAGAAATAATAACTAGTGATAGTCATGACATCTACTGGTCTTTTTGACGTTACTAGAGATATTGCCCGATTGCAGAACTCGGGGTTATGTAAGAATTCTGCAAAGAGTATAGATTCAATCATGTTAGACGAGCACCACTTAAAGCTAATAGTTTCGCAGCCCTGGGGGCCAGATTCACGAAAGCACTTACGCAAACACTTACGAACCTGTATATCTTTTCTCAATCTTTGGCGGCTTTGTTTATAATTATTAAACAGTTAATGAGCTCCGAAGCACCAGGAGGCTGTTTATAACAATAACAACAGTTGAATTGGAAGTTTTCATGCTTGTAAACTGTTTAATAAATGTAACCAAAGCCGTCAAAGATTGAAGAAAGATGTACACGTTCGTAAGTGCTTTCTGGCCCCTGAACGCCGCCTGGAGATACATTGTCTATAAGGCCTTGATAGCTTGAGGTCCTCGCCACGTACATAAGAACACTTTACACACAAATAATAAATTAGAATACAACGAATATTGCACTGGTATGTTGCTTTTAGTTGCTTATATTGTAAGTTATATAATTTAATAAATATACACCGTATACTTACAATGACAATGGAATGAGGATAAGAACTGGAGAAGAGCAGACGAGCAGCAGATAGCGCCATGTCCTGATGCAGTAAGCCACGCCTGCGAAAGCCCCCACACCAACAGAATATGGCAACCCGGACAACATTCCAACCAGGCTTCGTCGCTTGGATGGCGTCGACTCCAGAACTGCAGGAAAAAAATGGGTTTGATAACCTTATAAACAAAAACTATTTTTATGGAACATTGACTAGGTAATTACTTAGACTCTGAAATTGTCGGAACATTGAGTAGATAATACCTAGATTCCAGAACTGCGAACGAGATCACCTTCAACAGCATGTAGAGCTATAACATAAAAATTCTACCTACTGAAACATATTACACACCTATAATACATATAGTTCCCATATTGTTCTACTATAGATACTTTATTTACATTAATACAAACATTGGTGCGTATGTGGAAAAAGTTATATGTTGCTGATTTTTATAATAACTAAAACGAACAAATATAAATTAAAATGTGTTAATGGTGAATTTTGACATATTAAATCTATTGCATTAAAGTGTTTTAAAAATGAGAGGCCTATATATATATATATATATATATATATATATATATATATATATATATATATATATATATATATATATATATGTCGTACCTAGTAGCCAGAACTCACTTCTGAGCCTACTATGCAAGGCCCGATTTGCCTAATAAGCCAAGTTTTCATGAATTAATTGCTTTTCGACTACCTAACCTACCTAACCTAACCTAACCTAACTTTTTCGGCTACCTAACCTAACCTAACCTATAAAGATAGGTTAGGTTAGGTTAGGTAGGGTTGGTTAGGTTCGGTCATATATCTACGTTAATTTTAACTCCAATAAAAAAAATTGACCTCATACATAGAGAAAAGGGTTGCTTTATCATTTCATAAGAATAAAAATATAGTAAATATATTAATTCAGAAAAACTTGCCTTATTAGGCAAATCGGGCCTTGAATAGTAGGCTGAGAAGTGCGTTCTGGCTATTAGGTAAGACATATATATATATATATATATATATATATATATATATATATATATATATATATATATATATATATATATATATATATATATATATATATATATGTCGTACCTAGTAGCCAGAACTCACTTCTCAGCCTACTATTCAAGGCCCGATTTGCCTAATAAGCCAAGTTTTCCTGAATTAATATATTTACTATATTTTTTTTCTTATGAAATGATAAAGCAACCCTTTTCTCTATGTATGAGGTAAATTTTTTTTTATTGGAGTTAAAATTAACGTAGATATATGACCGAACCTAACCAACCCTACCTAACCTAACCTAACCTATATTTATAGGTAAGGTTAGGTTAGGTAGCCAAAAAAAGCTAGGTTAGGTTAGGTTAGGTAGACGAAAAAACATTAAATTCATGAAAACTTGGCTTATTAGGCAAATCGGGCCTTGAATAGTAGGCTGAGAAGTGCGTTCTGGCTATTAGGTACGACATATATATATATATATATATATATATATATATATATATATATATGCGAACAAGCCTGAATGGTCCCCAGGACCATTTTCATATATATATATATATATATATATATATATATATATATATATATATATATATATATATATATATATATATATATATATGTCGTACCTAGTAGCCAGAACTCACTTTTTGGCCTACTATGCAAGGCCCGATTTGCCTAATAAGCCAAGTTTTCTTGAATTAATATATTTTTTCAATTTTTTTTCTTATGAAATGATAAAGCTACCCATTTCATTATGTATGAGGTCAATTTTTTTTTATTGGAGTTAAAATTAACATAGATATGTGACCGAACCTAACCAACCCTACCTAACCTAACCTAACCTATCTTTATAGGTTAGGTTTGGTTAGGTAGCCGAAAAAGTTAGGTTAGGTTAGGTTAGGTAGCTTAGGTAGTCGAAAAACAATTAATTCATGAAAACTTGGCTTATTAGGCAAATCGGGCCTTGCATAGTAGGCTGAGAAGTGCGTTCTGGCTACTAGGTACGACATATATATATATATATATATATATATATATATATATATATATATATATATATATATATATATATATATATATATATATATATATATATATATATATATATATATTCGGTCACCCTTTATTTGTGTATTTCCCAAATAAATATATTCTCAACCGGTAAAGAATATTCCCACATGCTATATGATATTTCTCGTCTGGTACAAAATATCCTCACCTTATACAAGATATTTTCTCCTGGATCAGGATATTCTCACATAGTACAGGATTTTCTCACCTGGTAGAGGATATTTTCACATGGTACAGGATATTCTCACCTGGAAGAATATCCAATATCAGGATATTCTAACCTGATACAGGATATATTCGCTTTGTAGAGAATATATCTATGAATCGTGAAAATGTTTTCAGATTGTGTTCACTGGATATTTCACCTTCTGAAATACTTCCAGAATTACTTAATTTACTTGTTATCATTGTCTAATATGAGACTTACCCAAGTTCCAGGCAGGTATTAGAGTACCTACGCATGTGCAGCCTGTGATGAACCGCATTACTAATATGAAGGGATAGACTGGTACTAATGCAGTACCCAGCACTGACAGGATATTAGCTATACAGCCAATTTGCACGGCTTTTCTGCGGCCCCACCTGGGAAAAAACATTTGGAGGAATAAAACTTAAGACCTTTCTTGTTTAGAATTGTATTTTTAATTAGCTATGAAAATTAACTAACATATCCTAACAAACAATGTAAACACAATTTTGTTGAACAAATCAACAAGGGCCGTCGGCCGTTTATTTGATGTATTACGCTATTGTGATTTCTGTGTGTAACAATTTTATTTCTTGACATTACAAAAAGCGTTTGGAAACATATTGACAATCAGATTCGAAATATGAATGTTTACACTTACTATGTTTCTAATGTGGACGGCAGTTTAACTCCGTAAGTTCTTTAAAACCTAAACATTACACAAACTTTTATTTTATAAAATACTCAATCACTATCTAGTAGCCTCGACGAGGACAGGAAGCCGGCGACTTATCAAAGATCCCCCCCCACCATTTGTCTTGATTTTATGAATCTGGATTTTAAAATTCATGGCTTAAAATGGCTTTATAACTCTATAATTAAAAAAGCATCTGTTTTCTGTCCTGCATTGTTGCTTGTTGAGCTTGCAATCATTGTTCCTTGTTTAAGCATTACATCTGACCTTTTAAAGAAGTGGTCTGCATCAATATCCACCAAATTGTTCAGTGTAGCCACCATGCATCTCAAGAGATATACAGTATATGGTGAAAGGTGAAACTCGCGTCTCGGTGTATATACACTTAGAATTTACTTTAATCTTGGGGAATGTTCAGCACTACTAGTTGGCCAGTGTGCACTTATGGTGGTCTAAATAATCCTCCAATGGCTGATGAGCCTTAAGCCCAACACCAAACCAAACTATGTATAGCAATATCTGTAAGAAAGTGTGCAAAGGTGTCACTCACCTGTCTCCAATGTGCCCACCAATGAAACTTCCAAGTATCTCTCCAACGTTGAACATCATCTGGTAGAAAGGCTGAAGTGGCAGATCCTCGCACACTAGATCATACTGAAGGAACACTCATTAAATATAACCTGAAGCAGAACTGAAACGGATGACCTTCACTCACAATTTAAATTACCTTTTTTTTTTAAAAATCACTGTATTTGTTATTTGTTTGTCATACTTGTGCTGTTTAAAATGAATTGTATGGAGTAAGAAGAACGTTACACAAAGTAAATATCAGTTTTCTTTAAGTTTAAAATATTAGTACAGTAAATCACGCAAATAATTTGTAAAATTGATATGAAATTCATAATTCAATCACTATTACATGGGTCCCACCTCAGATACAACAGTGGAGGAGAAGATGGAAGTGTCATATTCAATGATGGGACATGAAGACATGCTGGTCTTGTGGCGGGCTGAGCCACGCGGGATGTCTGAGGCTTCCAGAGTGACAGACAGGTTGTGAGGCTCAAGACACTGACTGTTGTAGTAGACTTGGCTGCTGTTGGACGAGTCGTTGCCTTCTCTTGTGGTAGAATGCACACCAAATATAAGGCATCACTTGAAAACAAGGCCGTGGACATGTTTATACCACACACTAGAATGTGAAGGGATGACGACGTTTCGGTCCGTCCTGGGCCATTCTCAAGTCGATTGTGACTCACAATCGACTTGAGAATGGTCCAGGACGGACCGAAACGTCGTCGTCCCTTCACATTCTAGTGTGTGGTCTGGTCATCATACTTTAACCACGTTAAAGACTCATCGCCCGCAGTGAACATGTTTATAGACATATTGTTCTATAAAACTGTTGAATACATGGCATGCCAACTTGTGTCATTTGTCATTCAAGCTGAGGAATGACAAATGAGGTGTTTATGGTTTTAATGTATGTCACAAAAACGATCACACAATTTTACTTATTGAAGAAACTCGAGTGAGTAAATTTATGCACATAACCTCATTACAGACATTAAACGCAAATTGGTCATCAATAGTGTAGCCTTCAAAATTTTATCGAAATTTAAATTATTACATGGTATATTCATCAAAAAATATACCGATAAATTACTTGAAACCTTATACCCAATTTGAGAATTAATGAACTGTTTGATGGAGAGAAAAAAATAAGGTAACTGTCATTGGTAGTAATTTATATATTATTATCATTATAGTATACATCTGCATTTATGCAGCTACCCTAGACAGTGTGTATCACGAGCTAACTATGGAACTAATCTAACCATAAACAAGCGCACTATAAAATAAAAAAATTGTGTGTTAAATATGTTCAGCTTTTAGACATAATTCAGTACCATGATGTGTATATACGTTACTAAAAAAACAGGTAGGCAAGATTATTGTTTACATAACTTCACTGCCTGTAGTTACCTATAAGGAAGTAAGTGAGGCACCCCGTCAGACGGCAGAGCATCAGGGAAGCAGCGGAAAGCCACTGGAGCACTCACTAAAGATGATGAGAACTGATGAATCCCAAGTATGTACAACACTGTTGAAAGTAAATCCTATTTGCACTGAAAGTCTACTGCTAGTAGGTTAGAATATGGTTAAAATATTCGATATTAAAATGTATTGGTTCTTGAAAATTAACTTATGCATTCAGTCGCCACTAGAATATGTAACAACAGTGAATAATCTCACAAAAAACGATAGTGCAGAAAGCCCAGAGGTTTTCAACTAGGCTGGTCCATATATATATATATATATATATATATATATATATATATATATATATATATATATATATATATATATACAATTTATAGTAACTATTTATTAGTTACAGCCACGCTCCTGTAAGTCCACTACGGGTTCACCATAGTTCGTGCTACTTGGAACTTTTTGTTCCAGTAGTTGAATCTAAAACAGCAAACAACAAAACAGTTGAATTTTTCTTTGAGAATGTGAGGTGAGAGAAACGAGAAACGCATCACTAGACGTCAGACTCAAATAAAAAGTAAAAATGAACTTTGGAGAGTTAATTTTTAATCTTCCTGCTTCAGTGAAGAAAATCATAAGGAATATCGAGAAGATTCGTGCCAGAGTCATAAATCTAGAATCATAAATCTATAACTTTCTGTCGTTTTCACCGAAATGTTTAAAAGAGAGACTGCTACCAATATCACACTAACGTGATTCATCAAATGAACAATTAACACTCAGTCGATTAAGGCAGTGTCTGGGATGCTCCCGGACGCAGGTTCGAATCCTCGTCACGGCCCTTGTGGATTAGCCACCAATATATATGTATAACACGAGACAGTTTCTGGTATGATATAAATCAGTACTTACCCAATAAGGTGGTGGCAAGGGGGAATAACTGCCATCGTCCGAATCCCACCTTCGTTAAGAAGTGGTCGAAGGTGTCCTCGTCGGACATCCTAGGCTGCTGCGGAATGAAAATGTGTTGAAACGGGTATTATTGTTTTTAAGGAGTGCCAAAGTTGTATTGACTGTGACTCCAAGCAACAGTCATTATTATCATGACAGTAAAGAATTGTTCACCATTATACAAGTCAAACAGCTGACATACTTGGCCAAGGATCCGGGAAGCAGCGGAGACGAGCTACTAACCTGGTCACTCCAACAACACTGCCTCTACCAACCCGCAGACTCCAATATACAGTATAGGACCTGTCTCAGGTTATGCTTGTCCAAACGGCGGTCTACCCCCCCCCCTCCCGCAAGACTCGCTTACAAATTTTAAACTCTGAATACTGCGTATTCGGAATTTTAATTTTCTCACGTATAAGTTAACATTATTTAATACTAGATTGTATTGAATAGGCAGGCCTAACTTAGATTAGGTTAGATTCTGTTAGCAATTGTTGGTGTTTGCAGTACGTGGATGAAGCATTTAGAGAGTGAATGAAACATTGTTCGAGGGAAAATCACAGCAAAGTGCGTATGCAACCCGTCCTCACACTAGGCTGTTTAGAGCAGTCGTTTTTCATTCATAAACAGAGGGTTTGGCGGGTGCATAAAATTACTTTTGGGTCTTTGTTTGGAGGACGGGCTGGTCTTCTAAACAATACCCAAAAGTCCATTCCATGCCTCTGCCAAGCTCCCTGTTTATGAATGAAAAAACGGTTTACACTTACATATGAAGAGGGAGGGGATAGAGAAAGAGAGACCCAGGCGCAGCCTAATAATCCCCCCCCCCCCCTCCTAGATCAGTTATATAATCCACAAATAATTCGCAATGTTATTTCCCTGCGTTAAAACTTGCTAGGATTACCAGATATTAATTTTCTGAAGGACGTACGAGGGCACGTCGCAGTCACTCCCCAGAATCATGATGTGTGGTGAGAAAACAGATTCTCTGGATTCTTATTCTGTGCGCGTAAAAAGGTTACCATCACCCCTATAACACGGTGAGGTGAGGCAGCTAGTTCTCTCTGGTGTTGCTTGTTGCCACAGGACAATGAGAGAGCTCCAGGGAGACAGATAATGTAATAACGGGAATATATATATGCCTGGAATGAAGGTATAGATTCACGAGACAAGAGACAAAGAAGTCAACAACATACACATTGACAATATAAATACTGACTATTTTCTTCTTTAAAAATACTTGAGTATTTCTATTGTACCACAAAAGCAGCGTAAAGACAGGCTTAGGTTCTCAGAGTTTACATATAGTTTCCAGGAGTCAGTAGGAGGAGTGTGTTTCTTCCCAGGAGTCAGGAGGAGTGTGTGTTTCTTCCCAGGAGTCAGCAGGAGTGTATGTTTCTTCCCAGGAGTCAGCAGGATTGTGTGTTTCTTCCCAGGAGTCAGGAGGAGTGTGTGTTTCTTCCCAGGAGTCAGCAGGAGTGTGTGTTTCTTCCCAGGAGTCAGTAGGATTGTGTTTCTTCCCAGGAGTCAGTAGGAGTGTATGTTTCTTCCCAGGAGTCAGGAGGAGTGTGTGTTTCTTCCCAGGAGTCAGGAGGAGTGTATGTTTCTTCCCAGGAGTCAGGAGGAGTGTGTGCTTCTTCCCAGGAGTCAGGAGTGTGTGTTTCTTCCCAGGAGTCAGGAGGAGTGTATGTTTCTTCCCAGGAGTCAGGAGGAGTGTGTGTTTCTTCCCAGGAGTCAGGAGTGTGTGTTTCTTCCCAGGAGTCAGGAGGAGTGTATGTTTCTTCCCAGGAGTCAGGAGGAGTGTATGTTTCTTCCCAGGAGTCAGGAGGAGTGTATGTTTCTTCCCAGGAGTCAGGAGGAGTGTATGTTTCTTCCCAGGAGTCAAGAGGAGTGTGTGTTTCTTCCCAGGAGTCAGGAGGAGTGTATGTAAAAATTGCCTGCCAATAGGTAACTGAATATTTCTCACTGTTTGAGTCTCATAATATATAATGACTGTGGGATCTGTAAAGAAAAAGTCACAAAAAAGTTTTAGTTTATTGTACAGGGTAAACATTTGCACATGAGCCAGTACCATTTGACAATAAAATTAAAGATATGATCTATTCGAAGAATGTAATTTTCTGTATATTATATATAATTATATATCTCGAAAACACATTTCCATAAGAACTATTTTTTCAAAGATTTATTTAAACATGATGATGAATTACCAGTCATATCGGGTTCATCCGAAGTTTCAATAAATATTTACAATAATAAATGTAAATCAAATAAGTACATGAATTTGTTTTAATTAAACATATTTGAATGCGTATAAGCGAACATACGGCAATGCAATTCAACCAAGGTGGAGTATATTAAACAATTATACAATTGATGATCAGGGGGGTAGAAATAACCTAAGCTACTCTATCCCTTTGAGATGTATTAATTGCTTATCTCAATATACATACTTGAACTTGAACTTGAACAATGGATGAGTGATGTCCAATGTAGTACAGTAGTGTATATGGGCCCCTAGTCCAACATCAACTTCGATGTTCAAAGAGCTTCAAGAAGGCTACCCCAAAGGATACCTGATCAACCAGGCTGTGACTCATACGTCAGGCTGCGAGCAGCCGCGTCCAACAGCCTGGTTGATCAGTCCAGCAACCAGGAGGTCTGGTCGACGACCGGGCCGCGGGGACGCTAAGCCCCGGAAGCACCTCAAGGTAAGGCGGGGGGTGGGGGGAAAGGAGGAGAAGGGAAGGAAGAAAGATGAGGAGTTGAAATTCTTGAAGAAAATTACGATGAGTAGCGAGGAAAATACACCCCCTTAGTCATTGGTTGTTGTTGTTGTTGTTGAGTTAGGGGCGACGACGATCGTGGGATCGGATGCGCCCCGGCGTACCCGTGAAGGGTGAATCGCAAAGCCAGGAAAGGCGAAATGCTAAGCCAAAACGCGAAACGAGTGACGCCAAGCACTAGAAACTAATATGCCACACGGCAAAGCTACGCACAAAGGGAGAGGCAGAAGCACATAACAGAACAGGGCAAACAAACAGCCAGAAGGGCACACAGCATGTCATAGAGCAAATACGCAAGAAATCAGAGCACATACTTGCCCGGGAACTTGGCCCGCGGGAATCTTACATTGAACGCCTCCCAGAGCACCCATTGCCAAGGGTCTCGTCCATCCACCGGGGACGCCATAACATCCGGAACCGGGGCAACAAACACCTGCAAACTGGGGACCCAGATGGTAGAACTCATGAGGCGAGAAGTCGCCACTCGCCCCCACAGGAAGGGAACTTGCCCCCCACGAAAGCACTCCGGTCCGTCAGACAGCAGTAACTCGGCAATCTTCGACCAGTGACCCGGTGGCATCACAGACGCCGGCAACACGTCCCCCAGGGCCCCAACGCGCACCCGCACCACAAGGGTACCCGCGGCCCCGGGCACACCACCAGACGACAGCAGGGAACCCGGACGGCGTGCATCCTTCCGTAACGTCACCACCAGGCCACGCCCAGCACCAGAGTCCACACCATCCCTGGCAGCGGAAGCCACCACCCCCCACTGCGGAGAGTCCCCCGGCGGAGAAAGAACCGAAGGCACGTCCGAGACACAGGCACCAGCACCGGCAGGCACATGGACCTCCGCCACCACGAACCGCGGAGACATCGACGCATCCGTATCCACACTGTCAACATCCGAAGCCCTACAGTCACTGAAGTCACCAATGTCGGCCCAGGAAGAAGACGAACGCCGGGAACGTTTGGGCACCGGCCGGATATCGTCCGAGCCGGTAAGTGACCCAGAAACACGGGTACCACGAGCCGAAGGAACCGACGCCAGGACGGCAGCAGCCTCTACCACAGGAGGAACCGGGCCACACACAGCAGGAGGCTCCGCAGTCACCCCAGCACCAAGCACATCCGGGACCCGAGTCACGGACACAGGGCCAGGCGCAGCATCAGAAGACGAGGGAGAAGACAGCGACGTCACACAGGGAGCTCCAGGAAGGCCCATGGGAGCAGTTGGAACAGCAACAGGATCAGGCAGACCAACCGACGGTACCTCAAGAACCGGAGGAGGGACGACAAGAACCGGAGGAACGGCAGGCGCCGCCGGGGAAGCTGCAGCAGCAGACGGGACGCGCACCACCTCATCAACATCACCGGAGACTGCCTCCAGAGGGAGCGGCGGGAAATCCTCGTCGCGGAACAAGTTGACAGGAGCAGCAGGGGCCTCAGAGCATCCGGCAGCCTGATGCCCCAACAGGCCACACCGGAAACAGGTACGAGGCTGCCGGGCATAATACACCCGGACGTAGTACCCCATAAGCCGGACAGAAGAAGGTATATCCGACCGCAGGCGCATCCCCAACGTGCGAATGTTTGTACGCCTCCCAGCATACCGCCCCGAGGAGAGCGTGTTCACCCGCACGCTGACAACAGTACCAAAACCCCCGAAGTAACGCCGGAGGAGGTCATCAGGGAATTCCAGGGGCGCACCATGGATACTGACATAAGTCAGGGCACCACTGCGGTCCGAAATCGCCACAGAGCCGGCATCGTCTGGCAACGGCAACGTACGCCCCTCGTACCGACGGAGGAAGTCCCGGTACTCGTCCTCCCCCACGAACTTAATAACAACCCGATGGGCCGAAACTAGCTCCACACCGTAAACAGCTTCCACCGGAACACGAAGCATGTCACACATCACCATCTCGACGGTCGGATAACCAGCCTTACAAGTAAACTCCAGGCCCACGGAGTTCACACGCTGAACAGGAGGAAGATGGCCCCCCATGTCAGAACTGCCACGTCAACGCAGCCAGGCAGGCAACAAAACTGGTAGGGCAATGACGCCCACACCACCTGGCGACCAAAACAGCAAACAACTCCAACAGCCACGGAGGGTCGAGAAACGTCCTCACTCCACGGCTGCCAACAGTCGACCTTAGTCATTGGTTCACGGTCAACGGCATTTTTGGGGGGGATAAACACTGGTTAACCCACTCATTAATGTTTTTTGCGAATTTTAGTCTCAAGAAATAATCTTTTGATGTTCTGGATTTGTGTATTTAGTAACTGGATGAGAGAAAGTTTAACAAAAGAGATTGATACAAATAGTAAATGGAGGGGAATATAAATCTCTAAACTTAACGTAACTGGTGAAATAAGATGGGACATTAGAACATATGGTGATCAAGGGATTGGATTTGGTTCTCTCGAGGAACTCTTATGTTACTCAAGTCTGTCTCGTAGTTCTTTAAACTACGTTCTTTAGGTCACTAAAATAAAATCATATTTTGGGGGGCAAACCTTTCATTTATTAGAACGTTGTAAACTCAACCAAATATTTAGGCGAATGTATTTGGGTATATGGATGGCATGTGTGTGTGTGTTTTATAGATGAATTAGGTATGCAATTGAGATAAGTTTCTAACCCATGAGTGTTCTTGGTTTAATAGGGTATGTGTAATGTATTCTGTTTGTTGTATTTTATTCTTATGTGCAATAAGAATAAGAATTTTAGCAACTTGGGAAATTGTGACTTGTTGTTTGGATCTTGTAGATTTGTTGTTTGTAGATTTAATAAGTGCCAAAGGAAATATTTTATTTGAAGGCGCTGCCATACTAGTAATTGTGAAATACGTCAACCTGCAGCAGTGAAGCTTAGCCACAAAACCAGCAGCAGTGAAGATTAGGCACATAACCTGTAGCAGTGAAGCCTAGCCACACAACCTGCAGCATTGAAGCTTAGCCCATACAACCTGCAGCAGTGAAGCCTGGCCACACAGCCTGCAAGAAGGAAGCTTAGCCACACAACCAGCAGCAGGAAAACTTAGTAAACACAACCTGCAGTTTAGACAGAACCTAGCAACTTTGCCCAGTATGTGACTGAGCAGCTGTTTTCGATTTATGTCGCTGGAATTTTCATACGGCGACGTTGCAACCAAATATAATCGTACATATTGTTTCTATGGATGGAATATACGAAATAAGAACCAATGCATCCAAATAATATCCACATGTTGTACTATTGGAATTCAAAAGGGCATTGTAAACTGAAACAGCCTAACCGTAATCTAAACTATTGTAGCCCTGAACACGTAATTCTATGCTAACGTAAGAAATATTGTTTAATTTAGTAAATATATGTATTATGCTTGGCTCAAGAAGAATTAGGAGATTGTTGTTTCCTTGTTTCTCGGGCACAATACAGAATTATTAGTACAAAGCGCGAACATTTTGCTGGGGTGAAACAGTCCATATTTTGTACTTTCCATCTATAGTTGCTATAGCAGTTCCGACTTTTCGAGTGATATTCACGTGTCTGCACATGGAACAACAATCAAAATGAAAAAAATTATCACGCCTATATTTGCAAATATATATATATATATATATATATATATATATAAATTTTTTTGAAGGAACTGGGTTCTAGGCTCATTGACACAACAAGGGACCCAAGAGCTGCAAGCTTTCTTTTCCAGCGCCTCAGTGTGGCGATACAGAGGGGAAATGCGCACTGCATCCAGGGTTCCTGCCCGCCATCTGAGGAGCTGGAGGAACTCGACAACCTATGATAACCTATTGTAACCCATATGTAACTCCTTTTTTGTAACAAAGTTCAAATAAAGTAAATATATATGTGTACATACAAAAGAATGGGGGTGGTAGGAGAAGATAATATTAGTGTTCAGTGAGAAACCACAAGGTCTCCTCTGAATACTTTTTATTTTCTTCTCCGAGGCTATGGGTCCCCACATTGGCACCAGAGGTGGTACCCTCACAAACTTATATATATATATATATATATATATATATATATATATATATATATATATATATATATATATATATATATATATATATAAAGTCTGATTATATATATATATAAATTATGGATCAGACCATATATATATATATGGTCTGATCCATAATTAGAATCTGAGGTATATATTTGCAGATAGGTTCGTCTGATTCTTAATTATAATCAAAGCTCTACTGCAATTTAGAACAAAATTGATTAAAACAACATATATATTAGTACTGCAGTTCTGTTCACACCTGGGAAAAATATCTTATCAAAGTCTACGCATGCTTGAACCTAGGCTGTCTCAGTAGAAGCGTAGGCCAACATGTATGATGTTAGCAATACAATTTGATAAACTTGCACTTAAATCTGTATGTCGTGGTCACCTAGTGTTATAGGCACAGGATCTGTTGTAAATAAAGCAAACTTATGCATCATAAATTTAGTTTAATATTGACATTAGAGCAATTAATTAGTTAATGAGTAGAAGGTATTTTAATTAATTAAGAACAAAAATCAAGAAAATCAAATTGCATTTGAAAAAAGTGTGTAAATATGATGCGTATAAATTTATCCTGGAATAAACGTAGAGTTTATAGGTTGTGGTGACAAGCACAAAATCAACGTCTCAAAGAAACTACAATATATACAGGATGAGGAATGTTAAAAGCTACTTATACAGGTCTTGATATATCCAGAATATAGATTATTTATACACACGTACAACTCATGCCATACAACAGACGAACAGACTTGATAAGATTACAAGAAATGATACATTCACATGACACAACAGTGTGATGAAACCCATTACTATCGTACAGCTTGAGACCTGCTCTTAAAATTACTAACAGAAAAGCCTATTGATTAATTAATTTCTTTTTTCACTTCCGCCAGGCGTAATTCACTTTCGTCGAAGATTGCTATAATGTTTATCTTTTATAGTTAATGGTTAGTGAGGAGTATATTGAAACCATTCAGTGTTCTTTTCAGTCACGAAATACTGAAGCCAATATTCCCTATTGATTCGATTAACCTACCTTGGGATGGCTATAGTGAGTTAGATATAGTTTAACTATACAGTATACGAATTTGTATTCTAAGAATAGACTTTTCTTTTAGTGTTGATATATATAGTGTTAGGTTTTGATTCACGTCGAACCAGCTTGCTATGTACATGTTTACAAAATCTTTGCATTGGACACAATCAATTACTATACTGTATAGTGCCGAACAGTGTATCTGTGAGCAAGAACATCGGTGCTAAATATACATACATGATAACATCGTTGTTAACATTTGTAATGTTTGTGGACAGGTGTGGCAAGATTGTACTTCGTATCACAGATATTAAGGCTGTTTAAGAGGGAGGGTGTACAGACGCGACAGTAATCCATAGCTTGCCACTCATCAGTAGTGACTTGCCGATGTATGTGTTTGATTAAGACGCGAAAATTATTATAACGTGCAACATATTAGATGATGATGATGCTTTTAAGTAGGAAATGAGAGTACATAATACCCAAACTAAGCAAAGGCGTGTCGCTAAGAGAATCAAATATATCTAGTACTAGCCTTACTTCGTGGTATGAATGGTACTAGGAATACAAGTACTAGCGCTAGAATTACTCTAGGTACGCCTTAGGACCTAGCATCAAGATGTCTTCATGCAAACTTAAGAGTACAGCTGAACAAAAATATACCTTGTAAATAAGTTTGAAAAAGGATGACGTACAAGATCTGTTCACAGAGTTTCTGTAAGGAGATTAACAAATTCATTAATTACTCGGTACGCAAATTAATAAATCATTGCGCAAATTAACAAATCTTGGCATGTAAGAACCTGTGCTAGAATATCAACCTTTCGAGAGACACTGTAGTCTCCATTGTTAATATAAAATTCAGTTGTATGGATTTACTAATTTAACATAAACCTCAATTATAAATAAACGTGTATTACATATTTAGATTACAAACACCAATTGTGGACTTTTAAGCTATGTATCAAACGCTGCTTAACTGTATCAAACAAGCCTGACTTGTTGAATGTTAAAACAAAAAATTATAAATGAGAAATTAATGCAGTTCTTATAGTTTCAGAGTTACTATTTATGTGAGGTTTGTATGTTATTAAGAGGAAGGTTATTGGTGTAATCTACCTGATAATGCAGAGTGAGTCATGTGGCTGGAAATTGAGACCCCAACCCACACATCTGAAAAAAAATAAGAAGTGACGTTTCGGTCCATCTTGGACCATTATCAAACTGCAAAGTAAGAGTGGTAGAGAGTCACTATATAAGGTAAGAATATGAGGTGAAAAGCAAAAAGTTAACCATGAATCAGAGTTAATAAAATAAAATAAAAGTCAAACACTTCCCTTTTTCCAGATGTGTGGGTTGGGAGGCTACCCGATATGTCAACCCATTCTCCTGTTTAGATAGTAGTTTTTGTAACTATGTACACCATAGTACAAAGATTACCGTTCTAAGCAAATAGAACTTTGTCCTATTCACTTTAAAGTCAGAAAAAAGAAGCTAAAAAAACATACTTGAATATTCTCAGGCCTAGTATACCACACATACGTACTATATTAGGCCTCATATATCGTGTATTAGGCCTAGGAAGGTTAGGTTAGGTTAGTTTGTCTTTGCAACATAAACATAAATAGTTTTCCGGTTTATCCAACTCAATAGTGCCGATTTCTACTTTCTAATTTCGTTGTACGTCGGCATATGTACTATGGTCCTCATCGTTACTATAAGTACTAACCAAAACAGGAGGATGGGCTGGATATGTTCCCCAACCTGTCCTCAACCTGTGCAAATTGTACACCGCGAATGATGTTACTACACAAGCCCGTACAATGTGCATGATATCACAGTAAATGACTGTACCATATAAATATTAGAGTACCAGATTGTACAACACTTATGACATAACTGTACCAAACCTTACAATGCTCATGACATTACTGTACCAGACTGTACATTGCTCATGACATCACTGTACCAGACTGTACATTGTTCATGACATTACTGTACCAGACTGTACATTGCTCATGACATTACTGTACCAGACTGTACATTGCTCATGACATTACTGTACCAGACTGTACATTGTTCATGACATTACTGTACCAGACTGTACATTGCTCATGACATTACTGTACCAGACTGTACATTGTTCATGACATTACTGTACCAGACTGTACATTGTTCATGACATTACTGTACCAGACTGTACATTGCTCATGACATTACTGTACCAGACTGTACATTGCCCATGACATTACTGTACCAGACTGTACATTGTTCATGACATTACTGTACCAGACTGTACATTGCTCATGACATTACTGTACCAGACTGTACATTGCCCATGACATTACTGTACCAGACTGTACATTGTTCATGATATCACCGTAACAAGACACACATGAATGTGAGGATGATCTATTTAAACACATGAATGTATTAAGACTGTTCTTCTAGTCCGCACATGTCAAACTTTAAATAAAAGTTTGTTAAAATAAATTGCTTAAGAGGTATGATAGGCTTCTTCACTGACAAACAAATACTTGAACAGTTCCACATCTACAAATCTAAATGGTAAACAGAAGCTTGAGATAGTATTGAGGCCACATAACATCAATGAAGAACAATGAGTAGCGTCCTTGCTGGAATATCCTGAGATCGTAATCTTGTTCATGTTCCAAAAAGAACATAGATGCGACTAGGGCCGTCACATCACAGCACTGGATAGCGGCATTATTCATCACATGTGTACATTCAAGCAGCTCATTTCAAAAACTAATTCGACGGTATATTGGGTTGATTTGATTAAGACTGTGCGTCGTGATTATCAACTTTGCATTCAGGCATGCGGTTCGTCAGTTGTTTTTGTGTTAACTAATGTTTTACACATTCGTGCACACAACTATTTTTTTTTGCTTTGCTTGTCTGACCACAGCCGTTTCGGTGTGCTTCATCACGATTCAGCTTTTCTGTTGGGTTTATTATTTTTTTAAGACACGTAACCTCTCAACTACTGTGTTGTTGATTTCCTCTTAGCAACTCTTGCCGCGGCACGTGTCGTCCTCCTCATAAGAGGCGTTTTGTGCCACAGCATGTGTCCTGTGTCATGACACGTCGTTTACGTCGCGGAACGTGTTCTCTCCCTCGTAAACATCCTTCCGAACCTCAAAGCTGTCTGTCTTAGACCGTTACTTGAGGTACCTGGAGGAATTAAAGTGAGAGTTACATATGATTCACTTGTTAGTAGCATTTAGACGAGGCACTTAAGGAAGTGGAGGCTACTTGAGTTACCCAAGGAAGTGGCAGTTACTTAAGTTGCCAAATGAGTGGCAGTTGACTGACTTACCCAAGGAAGTGCCAGTTACTTGAGTTACCGAAGGAAGTGGCAGTTGATTGGCTTACCCTAGGAAGTGGCAGTTACTTGAGTTACCCAAGGAAGTGGCAGTTACTTAATGTACTAAAAAAAAGATAATTATAGGCATCCAAGGGTAGTTGCATTAGGCAAAATTTATCACGTGAGGTAACCCTGGAGTTGAAATATCCGTCACTTGGTTACTTGAAATTATTTATGATTGCAACACTTACTTTAACTTGAAGTAACAGTTACCTGATGCACCTGTGAGATTAACAGTTGCATTAAGCAACTGTGTTTTGAATTAACTGTGTTATTATCAGTTACACAAAATACCTGAGGTCACAGTCACTTGGCCTCTAATATATCGTCATTTATTTGAAGACCAAAACTGCTAATGATAGTAACTTGGTACACAAGTTGTATTGACAATATGTTGGAAGGATGGATGTGATAATGACATTAACTTAAAGTACCTATTACAGTGACATTTAGTTGAGGTGCCAGTGGGAGTGACAATTTAGTAAAGGCACTTTTGAGTGCCACTAAACTGAGCTGCTAATGGATGGTGACAAATGCTCGAGGTGCTTGTGATGTGGACATCGATTTTCAGGTATTTGTGATAGTGAAAGTTTCCTTCGGGGGGCCAGTGGCTGTGATTTTGTGGCACCTGTGACAGTGATTTGTGGCACCTGAGGCAGTGATTTGTGGCACCTGTGGCAGTGATAGTTATTTGTGGCACTTGTAACAGTAATGATTAAGTGTGGCACCTGTGAATTTAACGGTTCCTTGACGCACTTTTAACAATGATGGTTATTTAAGGTGCCAGTGGTAGGTATTTATGGCACATGTGACAGTTATTTGTGGCACTTGTAACAGTGGTGGTTATTTAGGGGTGCCAGTGACATTTGCATATCGTACCTGTGAGTAACACTTACTTAAAATACCTGTGATTGACAGTTACTTAAGGTACCTGTGACGTGACATAAGATCCTGTGATTGACAGTTACTTAAGGTATCTGTGACGTGACATAAGATCCTGTGATTGACAGTTACTTAAGGTACCTGTAACTTGAGATCCTGTGATAAACAGTTACTTAAGGTACGGGTGACATAAGTAACCTGTGACTGGCAGTTACTTAAGGAATGAGTGACAGTGACACACACACATTTTGAAAGAATAAGTTACACGAATTACCTGGTATCATGAGTTAAGCGAGGTACCTGTGGAAATAACAGTAAAGAAAGATCAGAAGGCAACCTCGGCCCTCTGTTGCTCGTGTCTCTTGGAATGATAAGTGTTTATTGGCAGTTGATTTTTATAAGTTTTGGGAAACTCGATTATTTGTTACATTGGGCTATTTCATGGTTGGAAACAAGTCAATTTGATCGTTATACATGCAGTATGTTCTTCAGTCTCAGGCATGTATGGTTGCGGTTGTGTTCCGAATTTAGGGGAGTGCGTTCAGAGTTTCGGGATTGTGTTCAGAATTTAGGTCCTGGCCCAGGTGCTGGGACCGTGATGACATTCAATGCCCATACAAACGTAAATAGGTACTCTAATGCCTTCTCATAACTAGAAGACAGAGTAGATTCTTATGTCACTTAAAAGTTGTTCGTATAAGTGCTACTTGGTACTTTAAAGCGCCACCTTCCCGCCCCTCTAGGCACTTACAGCAGCCCGTCCTCCAACGTCAAAGAAACGGTCAAATTAAAGTGTCCCCTCCTAACCTACCAGAGGACCCAAAACAGAAAACGGGGCAGTACGTCACTTTCGCGTGCCGCTTCCATTTTCTAGAACGACCATTTTTGGCCTTATGTAACGCATAAGTAAGAGGAGAGCATAAGTAGTAAGAGGAGAGATATTGTTTACAGCGTCCCGTATTGGTTAGTGCTGGAGTTCTCATTCCATAACTTTAGGAAAACTCGGTTTATTAGGCAAACGGGCCTTGCATAATAGGCCAAGTAGTACGTTCTGGCCATTAGGTACAACATATGTTGAACAGACTCGGTGAGCTCAGAGGGCAGCAGAGTAGACTACGGCTCACTCCCTCATCATCATGAATTTTTTTCAAACTACTCGTTCTCTTATCTAATGCTTCGCATTTCGTAGGGAATTGACCAATCCGTTAAAAATACGACGCAATAGTAAAAATTGAAACACTCATAGTATTGACGTTTCCGATACATCGGCCTCGATAGGTTAGGTGGGTTGCTTTTTGGTTGGGCAAACTTTTGTGAATTTTTCACAGTGGTGAACCGAGAACACGAGCTGTTGACACAACGCTCGATACATCTCAAGCTTTTCAAAGGGCGTAACGCAAATCTTTACTCTCCTAGCTGGCCGCGGCAGCCCTTGGCACTTCCCTGCTCTCTCTCTCTTTTCTCATTTTATCTCCTTTGCTCTCCTTCTCTCTCCTTCTCTCTCCTCTCTCCTTCTCTCTCTTTCTCTCTCTTTCTCTCTATTTCTCTCTCTTTCTCTCTCCTTCTCTCTCCTTCTCTCTCCTCTCTCTTTCTCTCTCTCTCTCTCTCTCTCTCTCTCTCCTCTCTCTCTCTCTCTCTCTCTCTCTCTCTCTCTCTCTCTCTCTCTCTCTCTCTCTCTCTCTCTCTCTCTCTCTCTCTCTCTCTCTCTCTCTCTCTCTCTCTCTCTCTCTCTCTCTCTCTCTCTCTCTCTCTCTCTCTCTCTCTCTCTCTCTCTCTCTCTCTCTCTCTCTCTCTCTCCTCTCTCTCTCTCTCTCTCTCTCTCTCTCTCTCTCTCTCTCTCTCTCTCTCTCTCTCTCTCTCTCTCTCTCTCTCTCTCTCTCTCTCTCTCTCTCTCTCTCTCTCTCTCTCTCTCTCTCTCTCTCTCTCTCTCTCTCTCTCTCTCTCTCTCTCTCTCTCTCTCTCTCTCTCTCTCTCTCTCTCTCTCTCTCTCTCTCTCTCTCTCTCTCTCTCTCTCTCACTCTCTCTCTCTCTCTCTCACCTATCGATGTCGATATGGAGAAAACTGTCAATATTACCATGCTTTAATTTTAAGTAATCCGACGCATTTTAACCGCATTGGTCGATTGCGATAGAATCCCATGCATTTGGTGAGAGAACGGGTCGTATATGGCGTAGATGGATCACCTTCGCCCTCATCTTCCTTCAGCTGTGAGGGAGGATGAGGTTCAGCTGTGAGGGAGGATGAGGTTCATCTGTGCGGGAGGATGAGGTTCCTCTGTGAGGGAGGATGCGGTTCATTTGTGCGGGAGGATGAGGTTCAGCTGTGAGGGAGGATGAGGTTCCTCTGTGAGGGAGGATGAGGTTCAGCTGTGAGGGAGGATGAGGTTCATCTGTGAGGGAGGATGAGGTTCAGCTGTGAGGGAGGATGAGGTTCATCTGTGAGGGAGAAGAAGGTTCAGCTGTGAGGGAGGATGAGGTTCTCTGTCACCCTCATGTTTTCTTATCTATCCAACCGGTTCTCACGACTTAAATATGAATAAATATGAAGTTAAATTAAAGCGTTAAATATAAAGTGGTTACCTTCCTTTGCAGCTCTCGTACATAGCCTCACCACCTCGCTAGGCATGTCCAAAAATTAATTTCAATAAAACCGTTTTTGCAAATTACTTTAAACCAAACACAGATCGGTAACCGTTCGAAAACTCTTGCCTCGAACTTTGGTCATCAGTCAGTATCATAGGCATCACTCACAAACGTCCTCTCCTGTAAACCTCACATCATCAATAGGTTGAACAATATTTACCATCTCCTCAGTTATTTCAGCTCGAATTTGATTCGTCTCTATCAAGTATTTTGATGCACTTAGCGGAATTGTTGTTCGTCAGATCACTTCACATCCAAGCTTTTGAGTCACTGGTCTTCTACCACAAACTTGCTACTCTTTTTCTCTCTCACACATACACACACACACACACATATATATATGTGTGTAAATCACGAAAAATAAACACGTGATTAAAAATGTGACAGTGTCAGACCACGGAGGAAAATTGAAACAGGAATTTCCTTAAGTACTTTCGTATATTAATACATCTTCAGAAGGAGTTCTGAAGATGTATTAATATACGAAAGTACTTAAGGAAATTCCTGTTTCAATTTTCCTCCGTGGTCTGACACTGTCATATATATATATATATGACAGTTATACATATATATTATTTATTTATTTATTTATTTATTTACATCCATCTGTGATGATACTCACTTGGCCGCCCAATTTGTCCTGCCATGGACGTTGGCGCTGTTGGAGCGGCCGGTGAGGGCCGAGGAGTTGGCTGGGTAAGAGTTCCTGACGGCGGTGTTGGCGGGGTTGCCGCCCCCAGCCTTCACAGACACCAGCGACCCCGGCATGCTGCGACTCACGGCTCCTGAAGACACGTTACTAAACTGTAGTGGCCTTCACACAGTCAGTCGTCTAGGGTATGCATATATCATTGTAACTCTCAAAGATATAGTGTATTGTAATGTTTTAAAATTAAGTGAATGCATACATTATAAAATTGAGATTGAGGATTATATCACAATTTTCAGAATGGTAATATATACATTTTTTCGTTTAATGATATGAATAATATAAGATAAACTCAATAAAAAAGTCACACACACGAACTCATGTGGGGGATGAAAGAGTCAAACTAAGATCTGTATATTTCTATCTCTATACTGAGGGACGTTTTGGTCTCTATACTGAGGTGGCCTCAATAAAGAGACTGAAATATACATAATTCACACCTTGAGTCTTCATTTGTTTTGTGGCCTTCATTGTGTGGTAATAATATAATTTAGGAAATCAATAACCCTTCCGCTGCAGGATTATATTAGTTTACCTTGATATGCTTAACTTTTTTTAAATGATACGAAAAAAAGAGATGATTTTATGAATTTTTTAGTAGTAGTAGTACAGATATTAGTTTTTTAGATACTAGTACAAATTACGAATATTTCTGTCGCCGCGCTTTTGCTATGTGACCTAAATCGGTTATGTTGACCAAACCATACACTAGAAAGTGAAGGGACGAGTCGATTGTGATCACAATCGACTTGAGAATGGTCCAGGACGGACCGAAACATCGTCGTCCCTTCACTTTCTACTGTGTGGTTTGGTCAACATTTTTCAGCCACGGTATTGTGACTCCTCGCCTGCGTAAATCGGTTATAATTAATATTATGTATAATTTTTTTTTTAATTAGGTGCAGATATGTCAGTTCCAGTTGATCTTAAGCAGTTATAATCTGAAATAAATTGCTATTTACTGTAGAAGTCAGCCAGCTCACGGGCGCTAGCCGCATCATGAAGCTAATGTTAAATACAGCGGAAGGGTTACAAAATGCTATAAATGGTGAAGATGGAGATGTGAATATATGACGTTCAAATACATAATCTGGAGGCACTTATGAATATAATACCCATGCTTGCAAACTGCACACTACAAATTATACATGCTTAGAAATTCAAACAAATGTTCATCTAAATGAAATGTAACTCCATTCCTTATGTTAAATCTAATGGCAGAATTAAAACAACAAACACAAGGGAAATATGTGGCAGACATGAGAACATTCAGCACAAAACGAATAAACCATCAATGCATGAAAAGAAAAAAGAATTGTGTATTTTGGTACTGTAAAAATTTTTTGCATTTTGTGAGTGCAACAATCATGCTAATCCTGTGTCGAACTATATATATAGTTCAGTGGTAATCACGGGTTCTTTTCACTAAAAATGCGACACAGACTTGGCCGGAATTTAGACTCAAGCCTAGTCAGGTGAGGCGCACACACACTCAGCCCGTTTTAAAAGCCAGTCAAACAACACTTGGGGCAATAGTTTACGGTATCGTCTCGACCATGGCACGACAACGTCTGGGGCAGACGCCTGATTGATTCCCAGCATCGTCTCTGTGGTATATTGCTATTCAGCCCGGCCTCCTAAGGTTTGCCAACGTCAAAAATGGTCAATTTTAAAGTGTCCTCTCCTAATCTTCCAGAGGACCCAAAACAGAAAACGGGACAGTATGTCACTTTCGCGAGCTGCTGCCATTTTCAAGTGCGACAAATTTTTTATCCGTATGTAACGCATTTGAGTGAAATGCGATGTTCTTTGTAAGAGGACAAGTTGTGTTATTAGCCATTGATCCGAAAGTTAGTGACTGGTTCTTCTAGGTCACACAGACAAATGCAATGGTATTAGGAATTAAAATAGCCTACTGGAAGCGTGAGATAACGGACCTCTGTGTAACTAGTATTTTCGCAAAGCTCACCTATAATTCTTGCCGGGAAAGATGCTATCGAGCTCTTGTCCACTATAATACTATTATTGTGAAGGGTCACCCATTACTATTCGCCAGGACAATGACTAATAATCATTCAAAAGTTTCCATTAAAAGGAGGGAACTTATTAATATAAATTCATCTGTGCGTCACTTAAGATTTTTTACCAACATTTTGTATTCAATATATTTTGCTATTAAAAGTTAAAAAAATATTTAAAATAATTGAGCAAAATTAATTGGAAAACACAAAATAGGTTATTTATTTATATAAGATATAATGCTGAAGATGACCGCAAATGCTGCATTTTGCAGTGAAAATTCAAGTCTTAAAATGCCTTCATTGTGCTTAAATGTATAAATCTTAGTTTTCATCCGACGACTATGATGAAATTCTCACAAAATATATTGTTCAAGGATCTACAAAACTGGGTTTATATATATATTTTACATACTCATTTGTTCTATATGATAATATATATGTTTTTATTTTTTTCCAAACAGTTTTGGTTAAAATTAGAACTTTTTTGCGAATGTTCTAGATCTAGAAGAATGAACAAAAGAATATATTCTATATATTATATAAACATATTTAAGTTGTCAAATTATAAAAAACAAAATTCTTGCCGAACATATTTTTTATAACTTTAAATTTTGTTTAAACTCTTGAAAATCTGGAAACTCAGATTAAAAAGTTGAGTAAAATAATACATTCAGTATATTTGCATGTGTTTCGTATAGCACTTTCTTCATTCAGTCCATTAACCAGACAGGCCATTATTAATATGATAACAATGTCATCCGGGGAACAGCATCTTACCATCATAGGGATTTTCTTTACTAATTAGTCGCGTTCCCTATTGCAGAGCTAAAATATAATCAGTATTTATTTTTTTAGAAGCAAGCTAAAACGCCGTATTGCTTAAAATTGTTTACATAATAGTCGTCCAGAACTAGCAACTACTGAGGATCAACTAGCGAGAAGAAAAATGTTTTCAACATACAGCAAGTGCAACAGGTTCTGTAATAACAATTCTCTTCTAAAATTATTGACACAAAATCTCTAGGTTTCATATTGGCAGCAAAAGGAAATACTACTCCCAGATCAACTACATTTCAAACTCTATTGTATTAATTGACAAGCTCTTGACTAAATTTTAATGAAAGTGTTGCTTGTTACTAAGTAGTGTTATAAAGCAGTGACTAAGAGTCCCCCCAGGAACTAACTACTGTATATGCTAGTTGTGTTTGCGAGTCACAAATTGAATAGATGTTTACTAATTGTGAACATTCACAGACATTAAGCAGGAGATTATTGCAATATTGTAGTGATTTAATTACAAAATTATAGTGTGAATTAATAATGAGTTACCTTATATGTGTATATAAAAAACATCAATATGAGCGTCGACTATATTTGTGGGTTATGTAAAGGGTCTAGTTGGTGTGTTATGGTCTCATTCCCCCCACATTCACCTCTCGCCTACTTGACCTCATTCCCCCACCTTTTCCTCCCTACCTTCATTCCACCCCACCTTTACCTCCTAGCTCTCTCCCCACCTTTCCCTTCCTGATCTTACCCTACCTTGATCTTACCCCTTACCTTCCTTTCCCTCACCTCACCCCACATTCCCCTCCCTGACCTTCCCACTACTTTCCCCTCCCTGATTTCACCTTCACCTTGAACTCATTCCTTTTTATACACTAGTCCTGTGCATCTATTAGACTATATAAAGGTCAGAAAGGCCTAACGTCATTTACGTTTAAAGCCTACGCTAATCTTGCTGTTTCTCTACATCGAAATCAAAATTTGTTGTACTCGCTTCGACCAAATGTTGATATGAAACTTGATTATTTAAAAGGTTATGTGCCAAACGCTCGTACAGAACGAGGTCACCCAGAAACTATTTTCGACTACATTGCATATCACGAAAGAATTCGTGTTTTTCGCTACTACTTGGCTTGGGAGACGCATAAATAAAGCAAGGATGGGAATAATCATACAATAACATGATGGAAAATCCACAAGAATATCTGTGTATCTGTCATTGATGTTCATAACACACCATTGGCCAGTGATCACAAAATCTTCACCTGATAGTGAAAATTTTGTCTACAAACTCAGCAAAGGTGTAGATGTTAGATACCAATGATGGTGAACAGAGTATTGTACATGTGGACAGTCTTTTTCCACCCACTCCCTCAATTAGGCTATAAGGGACCCCTAGTCGGCAACACCGATCTACTTACTCAAGTTCCCCAAACTATTTGTTTTATTATCTTCATATTCGTTGCTAGGCGGGTCGCGGAATGACGACCAGTGCTTGGCGTTAGGTAAGAAGCTATTTTCCTCGGTGTTTCTAGAGCTCGCGTCAAACCCACGGGGTATAAAGGTCTTAGATGGGTTGCCTCTGGTCCGTATACTGCTCAAGGAGTCAGCCCCTCCCAAACGACGACCAGAAGGGTGCAGTGGTTGGGTCGGGTTTGGGAAAGGCTGGTCGTAGCTCCTCGTGCCAGGGTCGAGGTCAAGGCCGATCTTAGTGCGGTGCAAGTATCCATTGTGCGTTTTGTTATCATTGCCGACAGCAGGCATCCTACCGATGGCCCTCCCACCGCCTCCTCTCACACTACCTGCTTCTCCTCCCAGGAGTTCACTGTTACTCCCGCCTCTGGGGAAGACAAAACAAATGGACAATTTACGGTTTGTTCACTAATTTACCAAAAAAAAATGGACAATTTACGGTTTGTTCACTAATTTACCACAAACAACAGACCCGTTACTTTATCATTTCTGCAGTTCCGAACCTTAGCATTAGTATAGTGATGATTTATTTAAATTGAATATTTCCCCAAGATATAACTGGATTACTTACGCTTTGCTGTCGTCTTGTGAGATAGACTCGCTGATGCGCGCTTTATTCATAGAGTATGAGAGGTTGCTCATGGTCGCATCCATCTTGAAGTCCTTGAAAAATGGGAATCTGGGGAGATGAGAGTCCAGTTAGTCGGAGCCATTATATAAAAATACGGGAAAATGTGGTGGGAAAAACAATTATATAGGCATTAATGTACAAAGTGCAATACAGGGTGTGTGTGGCAAGAACGTAAAGGACTGAAAAGAAACATAAAACAATTTGGCGAAGATACAGAAATATAAATTCAGAAGAAGACTCAAACTTGCCACAAGACGAGTAAAGGGTATTAAGACAACATAGTCATTAAACTGGCAGGGAGCAAACTGGGAACATGACTGAATTACTGAAATGAATGGCAAGTTAGGCTATGTCTCACGAGGCTGTGGACAAGGGCCGTGGAGGATTAACTACTGATGGTGCTCTGATTCCCTGTGTAACCCGTCCTCCCAACAGAACGTCGCATTTTGACGTACACTCTACTTAAGGGCAAAAAATGTCGAAAATGGTGGCGTCTCGCGAAATTGACTCTCGTTTTCTGTACTCTGGTAGGTTAGGATAAGGGCACTTTAATACGACAATTTCTTGACGTTAGGATACCTTAGGAGGGCGGGCTGCCCTGTGACGCTCTGTTGTGTGCACGATAGACCATAAAGTGTCATTTTGTAATACCTTGCAAATGCTTGAAACTGAAGAAACAGATAAAGTTAATGATGTTGATTTTAACGAAGATATCATAAATTCATTTGAGGGACGGTAGAAGGACAAAGCTTAACCAAGAATGTTTCTAATTACTCACATATGATATATGAATAGTTTTCACGGAGAAAAATTATGTTAGGGGTTCCTACCCATGTGACCTATGCTCACCCGAGACCCCCCTACAGTAGGGTACCTACCCATGTGACCTATGCCCACCTGAGACACTGCTGGGCGGTGGGTCTGCGAGCGGGGTTCCAGTGGAGCATCTCCGTCATGATGTGTATGGCGTCTGGGGTAGCGTTGGGTATGAGGGTGGCCAGCGGCGTCGCTGCGAACTGCGGGAACTTGAAGTTCATCTGCTGCGCCAGCGAGTACGCCTCCGGCCACTCCCGCTGTCACAGTCATCAATATTTGATTAATATTATTAGGAATTCTTATCTTCGGTAAAGTTACACCTCATGTGATTCACTTTTTTGGCAAAGTTACATTCATGCGATGCACTTTTTTTATCAAGTTACACCCTTGTGATACACTTTTTTACCAAGTTACACCCTTGTGATACACTTTTTTACCAAGTTACACCCTTGCGATACACTTTTTTACCAAGTTACACCCTTGTGATACACTTTTTTACCAAGTTACACCCTTGCGATACACTTTTTTACCAAGTTACACCCTTGCGATACACTTTTTTACCAAGTTACACCCTTGTGATACACTTTTTTACAAAGTTACACCCTTGCGATACACTTTTTTACCAAGTTACACCCTTGTGATACACTTTTTAACCACGTTACACCCTTGTGATACACTTTTTAACCACGTTACACCCTTGTGATACACTTTTTTACCAAGTTACACCCACGTGATACATTGCTTTTACCAAGTTACACTCCGGTTAACTTGGTAAAAATTTTTTTTATCAAGTTACACCCCTATGATACGTTTTTTTTTTTTTTTTATCTCCATTAAAGTTACACTCCAGTGATACACGTTTGTGTTAAAATATGTGATGAAGGATACATGTGGTCTTAATTCTCAGGTGTTGAGGTGTAATCTAGTTCTTACCTTGTCAGGTGTACCGATGACGGAACAAATCTTGAAGATCTGGTCGATCTCGGAGGAGCCTGGGAAGAGCGGCCTGAAGGTGTATATCTCCGCCATAATAGCGCCCATGGCCCAGATATCGATGGGGCTACTGTAAGTATTGGATCGTAGTAACACCTCGGGTGCCCGATACCTGTGGGGGGGGGGGGGTTAAGGTTAGTATGACGGCTCACACGCTCCGTGGCAGGTCTGGACGCCAGGGTTATGGTGGTCAAGGTCAGTATGACGGCTCACATGCTCCGTGGCAGGTCTGGACGCCAGGGTTATGGTGGTCATGGTCAGTATGACGGCTCACACGCTCCGTGGCAGGTCGACGCCAGGGTTATGGTGGTCATGGTCAGTATGACGGCTCACACGCTCCGTGGCAGGTCTGGACGCCAGGGTTATGGTGGTCAAGGTCAGTATGACGGCTCACACGCTCCGTGGCAGGTCTAGACGCCAGGGGTTATGGTGGTCAAGGTCAGTATGACGGCTCACACGCTCCGTGGCAGGTCTGGACGCCAGGGTTATGGTGGTCAAGGTCAGTGTGACGGCTCACACGCTCCGTGGCAGGTCTGGACGCCAGGGTTATGGTGGTCAAGGTCAGTGTGACGGCTCACACGCTCCGTGGCAGGTCTGGACGCCAGGGTTATGTGGTCAAAGTCAGCAAGATAATTTCCCGCACTCTATTTAGGTTATTCACCCTTCCCCACAGCTCTATAATACTGTTTATCTTTTCTGTTGTTTTTGCGGGATAATTTCAACAAGAATTTAAATATTAAAACTAAAAACTAAAAGGTGCAATACCTATTTTTAGTAGTGCCTATTTTGGGGGTTGTGATTCTGCAACCCATATATCGTGGGTCACAACATTCCAAGACTTCATAAAATATAAAAATAAAATATTGTGGAGTTAACAGGAGACGACAGTGACCCACATCTGGTATTTGTAGGTATAAATAAGTCCGGACTCATATGATCTAGCTTCAACCTATATATATATATGTACACTGAGTTTACTATTCATTATATCCAGGACTAAAGAGTGTTACTCTTCATTATATCCAGGACTAAAGCCTACTGAGTGACCTACTGGTGGCTCAGTAGGCTATTGTAGTGTTTTGGATAGCGTGACATGCAGCTTAAAGATCATTGAGGCCAAGGTTTTGAACCCACGCTTTCAGCCGCCACCAACAACATGGGTGCACGATTTATATTATACCAGAAATATGTAAAAAAAAACATCAGTAAATTGTGAGAGGCACAAACCATCTGGTGGAGACATAGTCGGTGTAGGGAGGCCGCGATCTGATCTCCCTCGCCAGCCCGAAGTCGGCGATCTTGACGAGCTCCGGCCCCATACAAAGGAGGTTCTCAGGCTTCATGTCGCGGTGGAAGTAGCCGTGTCTGTGCATGAAGGCGAGACCCTGCAGCACCTGACACACGATGGTCTTCACGGCCGTCTCGCTGAAGTGCTTCTCTCTGCGTGATAAAGGGGCGGTTATGAAGCCTAGTCCTGGTTCACAGCGCAGCTCGCTTTCTAAGCTGTATTAGGCTAGGTTATTTTAGATTAAGTTAAATTTGCCTTGGTAACACTGACGTTCTGTATCTATTGCCTGAAGAATTGATTGATTGATGAAGATTAAGCCACCCAAAAGGTGGCACGGGCATGAATAGCCCGTAAGTGGTGGCCCTTTTGAGCCATTACCAGTACCAATAGATGATACTGGAGATCTGTGGAGGTGCGACTGCACCCTGCGTGACGGGAGATGTCTCCCGTGTATTGCCAGAATCCCTGGTTATTAATTTAGCTTAGGCAGGAGTTTATTTTTGACAATTCTTTTAACAGTTTATGAAAGATATACATAATGCCAAATTCTAAATCTCTCACAATTGTCACCCATGTCGTATGTATTGATATAAAGTTTTTTGAAAACTTTTAATATGGCTGAGCGTAATATAGAGGCTTGCATTGCTCATTTTACAACCTCGCACAACATACAAGTTTGAGTATCTCAAACTAATGACAATTACAAAAATTATCTATGAGGGGTCTTAGTTAAGATTCACCAAGATCCGTTAGATATCACCTACGAGACTCACCACAGGAGTCCATTATATCACAGAAGATTAATACTAGTCTCTCATCACACTGCTCAAGTTCAAGTTCAAGTATGTTTATTGAGATAAGCAATAAATACATCTCAAAGGGATAGAGTAGCTTAGGCTATTTCTACCCCCTTTCACACTGCTATGGTGAACTACACCATTAGGCGCCACAATGACAGGTCACCATACCACCCTGGGTAGCCACACTACCATGGATTAAAACATTCCCCATGGGGTCAATACACCCCATGGGTCAACACACCAACCTGGACTTCATGAGCTGGTATAGGTTCTCTTTCATGTACTCGAAGACGAAATAGAGCGTGTCGTTCTCCCGGATCACCTCCTTCAGTTTGACAACGTTGGCGTGGCTCAACTTCTTCAGCGACTGCAGGATCGACACCCACACACGTTAGCCAAACATGCAGCATGAATAGGTAGATGAAAAGTCACAATAATGTGGCTAAAAAAATGTTGACCAAACCACACATTAGGAATTGAAAAGACAACGACGTTTCGGCCCGTTTTGGACCATTGTCAAGTCGGGTCGATGAAACGTCGACGTCTCTTCAATTTCTAGTGTGTGGTTTGGTCAACATGAATGGGTAGGAAAAAGAATAGAGGGGGAGGGGGATATTATCTGCATAAATAAATGCACAAAAGAGTCTGGCTGTTCTGGAAGTCAGTCTGTGTTCTGTGCATTCGGGATATTGTTGAACGGAACCCGACCCAAACTGTGCATTAATTGCTCTTTAGTTTGGTCTGGGGAAAAATTATATGTTATGTAACTAGGAGGTTCTTAATCTTTGAGGGTCTCATTCCCCTTTTTTCATACCACTTTCTCACCTTTGGACATCACTACAAATATATAATGTGTGTATATATATGCAAAACTGTAAGAATGATAAGTCTATATGTGTGTATATATATATGCAAAACTGTAAGAATGATAAGTCTATAAATCAAGAATGCCACTTTGACGTCACAGATAAGAAGCATTTGAGTGTATTTACATTTTTGTTAATGTGTACAAATACAAATATTACATTGAAATAAAAATATTACACTGAAATAATATATATGGGTATTGAGTGATATGGCACCCTTGTCTAGGTTGCCAGATGAATGAGTTGTTATGATGATGGCGGTGAGTGGAAGCGGGTCAGCTGATGATATATCAGCTGACCCTGAAAGATGGTTGCCATGGTGACAGGTAAACAACCCTGCCTTTACCCCCCCCCCCACCACCTCCTGGGTTGGTGCACTTTGTGTATATGTGAAGTTTCGATGTATATCTGTGTATTCTTTGTATTATTTGTGTGTTTATTTTGTTATGAATGATGGGGTTGAGATGCAGCTCCTGGACTCTATTCTGTGCCTCAGGGATGGAGTCAACAAGCGTATTCTTTCTTCCTTGCTCCTTCAATTTTATTATGTATTCAATCTAACAATTATCGTTAATGTGTGTGTCCATCTCTGTTTCCTCCGTCTGGTACCTCTTGTGTCCAGTCTCCGGAGTATTTTGTACGTCGCGAGCATGTCTCCTTTGTACTCCCTGGCATAATGTGCGCTAGTGGAGGGTTAAGCTTCAGCTTTTGGGTCCAACTTCTCAGTGTTCAGTAAGCTGTGTAATGTTCTAGGACCATTTGAGTTCTTGTTATCAAGAACTGAAGTCAGCAACGATATGTAGACTCAACACTGGCGCCGCATAATCTACCATTGGTCTGATGTATGTAAGTACACACCTATTTAAACCTGCAATGTCGAGCTTCAGCTCCCCGAACCCGAGAAGTAGATGTCGACCAAGTAAGGTTGAGTGATGAGGTTCTAGTCACTACTGGACGCTCACTACTCACCAGGTACACTACACTATTTATATTGTATTTGTAACTATTATCATCTAGCTCCTTATATGGTGTTTATTTACTCTAAAAATTGACATTTTCCTGTGTAGGTTTTAAATATGAGTTGTGCTCGCTCTCTCTCTATTTAATATATATATATATATATATATATATATATATATATATATATATATATATATATATATATATATATATATATATATATATATATATATATATATATATATATATATATATATATATATATATATCATGAATATATATAATTTTTTCTTGTGTGTGTGTGTGTGTGGGTGTACTCATATATATATATATATATATATATATATATATATATATATATATATATATATATATATATATATATCAGAAGTGAGTTCTGGCTATATATATATATATATATATATATATATATATATATATATATATATATATATATATATATATATATATATATATATATATGCATTTGGGTGAGGTGATATGTTACAATAGTTTTGGATGAGGTGAAAACAAACTTTCAACACAAGACAGAACACGAAACAATGGGTATTGAAGGTAAGAATGGAAGTAATTGCAGAGGGCCTATTGGCCCATATTTCTTGATGCTTCTATATTGGAGCGGAGTCTTGAAGTGGGTAGAATATAGTTGTGCATTAATTGGCTGTTGATTGCTGGTGTTGACTTCCCTGAGGCGTTGATAACCCTGAGGCACAAAATAGAGTCCAGGAGCTGCATCTCAACCCCATCATTCATAACAATATATATATATATATATATATATATATATATATATATATATATATATATATATATATATATATATATGTGTGTGTGTGTGTGTGTACTTACCTAATTTTGCTTGTGGGGGTTGAGCTCTGGCTGTTTGGTCCCGCCTCTCAACTGTCAATCAACTGATGTACAGATTCCTGAGCCTATTGGGCTCGATCATATCTACATTTGAAACTGTGTATGGAGTCAGCCTCCACCACATCACTGCCTAATGCATTCCATTTGTTAACTACTCTGACACTGAAAAAATCTATCTAATGTTTCTGTGGCTCATCCGGGTTCTAGGTTTCCACCTGTGTTCCTTTGTTCGTGTTTGTTTGTTCCCATGTCCTTTGTTTGTTCCACCCGTGCTTAAGAGTTTGACTTTGTCCACCCTGTCAATTCCCCTGAGAATTTTGTAGGTGGTTATCATGTCTCCCCTTACTCTTCTGTTTTCCAGGGATGTGAGGCTCAGCTACCTTAGCCTTTCCTCGTGGCTCATACCTCTCAGTTCCGGGACTAGTCGGGTAGCATACCTCTGAATCTTCTCTAACTTTGTCTTGTGTTTAACTAGGTCTGGACTCCCGGCTGGAGCTGCATACTCCAGGATTGGTCTTACAGAAGAGGTATACAAGGATATACCACTTATATACGTGTGTGTGTGTGGTGCATATATATGTGTGTGTGTGTGCATGCGTGTGACGGTAATGCTGGAGGCGGAAACGCTAGAGGAGAAACCGATGGTGGCGGAAGCACGGAAAGATGCTGGTATTGAGTGATGGTGTGGGCGATACGGGTAGAGTTATGGGGGAGGGGGTTTCCTTAACAGGCATTTAACACGTCCCTAATAGGACGTATTCCCTAGCATGTCCCTAACATATTATTATCAGGTCTCTGTACCATGTTCCTGTAATGCCCTCTATCGGGGACACGAAACAGGTACATAGGTTGCTGTTTTTAACTACTGTAATCCTGTAACTAACCCTCCCCCCACCTTGGTCAACTACTGGCATCCCCAGGATGCAACTTACAATATACCTATTTACTGCTAGATGAACCGAGGCATGAGGTGAACGGAAATATTACTAACCAATTCTGCTCCACCCGAGGATCGAACCAGGGATCTTCAGTCGTGAGTCGAGGACGTAGATCGCTATACTACAGAGACCCAATGTGTTTATTGTGCCCCAAAAGAAGAAAATATATAAGTAAAGCTCACTCGAATTACTAGGGCGGCGAAAAGAGAGTTTGCGTGCTGTTTATGAAAGTACAGCTCAGACAATATTGGAATGTAAGATGTACCTCCTTCTAGTATTGGATTATGAGAATGTTGGTGACATTTTGAATCTCCCGCCTGTGGTAGTGTGTTTGTGAGTCTGGGCTCCAGCACCCATTTTCTATGTGCTTTCCATGGCCACAGAAAATTATATCTACGTTCACATAGAAACATCCAGTGACTAAAGAAGATGTAAAATAAAGGAAAAAATAACATATATAAATTATGAACTATAAACAGCAATATGAAAATAAAATGTTTGACAATATTAGAGAGTAATGAAACGTGTGGAAGGGTCAACAACAGAAAATGGAGGTGGACGCGTACTGGGCTCTCGCGGGCAGTGAGGTGGTTAATGTTTTAGAGATATTTTGTATGTCTCCTCCATGTCCCCCCAGGGTCCCCGAGTGTGTGTGTGTGGTGTGTGGCTCGCCTCCGTGACCCAGGGACCACGGGGGGTGACAGTCTGGTCCACCACGCAGCGCCAGCAGGTAAACGGTAGGTGGTTGTACCGTGTGTTTGTATCTAGCCACAACAGTGCTTGTTCAGGGAGAATTGACTAGGCGGCCAGCAGTTAAATGTTCGCCTCTGTTCACCCAGCAGTAATTGGGTATCTGGTTGTAAACAGATACCCAGTTACCCTGGCAACAGATCCCGTGACCCGGTGGTCTTCCATCGCTAATGTTTGAAAACTTAGCCTAATGTGTCCCGTTTATCAGCGCCTAATTTACCTAATTTGGGTTACGGGTTAAATTCGATTAAGTAGTTACAAACTAATTTAAAAAAAAGTAATTACACTTTAACCACGCCTTAGCTGAATTTGTTTTGGAAAATTTAAGTAAGCTGTAGGTAAACATGATCAATTAGTTTACCTGAGGCATAAAAGGTTGGTTGGTTGGCGAATATTTGTAATTGACTTACGTAGGTGAAGCATTTCAACCCGTTCTCAGACCAAGTTCATTCCATCCTGCGGTCGACCCCAAAGACGCTTTCATACATTTTAACATGCTGTTCATTCAGAATAGGAATTTTCGCAAATCTAAATTAATATTATTACATATTAGCATATTTGTGCATATTTAGGCATTGGTTAGGTTAGGTATTTAGGTTCTGTTGGCGATTGTTTGCATTTGTAGTACGTGGGTGAAGCATTTACAGCGTTGTGGTTCGAACAGAATTCGTCAGTGAAGCACTTGTTCTGGAAGTGTTCGAACGAAATCAGTTGTGAGTCGTGTGTAAACCTTTTTCATTGATAAATAGGGGGGTTGGCGGGTGCATGGAATCACTTTTGGGCCTTTGTTTGGAGGATGGACTGGTTTAGCTGGTGCATAGAATGGACTGTGGCCTTTGTTTATGAGGACGGACTGAAACATGACCGACTATACGTTCGAACTTGATCCGACCAGTGCTTCACTCTCTTCCCATGTTCGAGTCGCACCTACCTAAATCTTCACCCACGTACTGCAAATACAAATAATTACCACCAGCAACCCCCCAACACCTAACCAAACCTAAACCTAATCTTACACAACAATTATAATACATAATAATTTGATTTATTTGGTCTACAAAAAAGTTTTTGATTAAACAAAGCGTTAATAGTGATGAATTTTCTGGGGTGTGAGCCGCAGCTAAGTTAACGAGAGTAGGCTGAGTGTGGGTTGTTGGTTATCTGTTTGATTTTAAATAACGTAGTTGGCTGTGCAGCCCTTCGTTGTCACGTCACAGAAAAACGAGGTTTGAAGTTAGGTTTGAGTAATCTTCAAACGAGGTTTGAAGATTACTCAAACCTAACCTGACTGATGGACACCACGCATAGAAAACGTGGTTATTTGTGAGCCGCCGTGATATATAGTACGTCATATTTAGACCGTTGGGGATTTTGACGTCAGAAAGTGATGTATTCTTCGAGAGAACAGTTTGGGCTATGAATAACAGCTAAGGGGGTATAACTAAACGTTACTACACGCATTGATACTACCCTGTGCCGTAGGTGAACTGGAAGAACATGAACGTCTCACGCAGTTGGAGAAATTACCTTCCAGACAGAAGTGATTTGATGATTAGGGGGTTCTAAACTGCAGCCAATTGTTCAATTATGTAGGAGCGCTCCATTCCTTGGTTTCCAAACTGCATTCATTACCCCCAGGGCTCATTATTGAAGGTCCGGGCGAGTGCACGTGGTTATATATACAATCCGGATTATCCCAGTCGGTAATAGTTCATATTTTGTATATTTGTCAACCTCACTGCCCGAAGCTTGTGCTTGAGAAGTGCCGCATTCACTTTTTATTCACTTCCAGTCTGTACTGTAAACACTTACTAAATCATCCTATACCAAAACACTTCAGGGCTAATTATGCATAAACCCTCAAAAAAAAAAAAAAAAAATATATATATATATATATATATATATATATATATATATATATATATATATATATATATATATATATATATATATATATATATATATATATTATATTATTAAGGTATACTTGCCCGTTTGTAGGTAAGCTGCAGTAGTGTGGTCTTAATAGCACAGCATAAAAGCAATCTCACCTCGTGTCTGTTTGATTACAATTAGCCTTCATTGTACGTTTACACGTGCATGTCAGCTGTGAGCAACAGCTGACATTGGCTCAACTTGGATAATGGCGCCATGTTTTGTTACTGTTCATTGCAAGTAAATCGTTTTGCCTGTCTCAAATGGGGTGAGGAGGAGCAGCCTGTTTCTGTCTCAGATGCGGCGAGGTGGAACACGTTTCTGTCTCAGATGGGAGTGAGGAGGAATTTATATCTACGTAGTGGACAGGAACCTGTTTCTATCTTCATGTGGATGAGAGGAACCTCATTATCTGTCTCCCTTGTGGTGTGGAGGAAATTATATCTCTTGTCACCCGTATGGTCGGGAGGAACCTGGTTCCTCTGTCTACCTTGTGGTAAGAAGGAAGCCGGTTCTACCTCTCTTGTAGTGAAAAGGTTTAACCTGTCTCTTACTGTCGCATGTTTTCCAACGCTCTCCTCCTAAACGAGACCTAAAGGTACTCTTAAAACACTTGAGAAACACTGACCAAGTTAGAACACATACCTTTAGCATCTTAAAAATTAACCATTCACTTGTCTTTGTCTGAATCAGCCCTTTTCAGCCTTTCTGGGTTTACCAAGACTTAACCTTTTCTTCCCCAGCGCGTCTCTTCACATTCCCGTGTTACATGTTTGATATATCTAGATTAGGCGAACAGACTTTTCTACATTGCGTTAGGCTGGGTTAAGCTGGGTTAACTTGTGTTGAATTGTGGTTGGGTTTCATTGGGTTGGGTTATTGGTGAGTTTTGATGTAATATGATAGGTGTAAGTGAGTCATCTTGTGTGCAAAATTGGGAGTATGTTGTTGTTGTTTAAGATTCGCTAGCTAGAACAAAAAGTTCCAAGTAGCACGGGCTATGGTGAGCCCGTAGTACTATTGGGAGTAGCATACGTCGGCCAGGTGAGTATTGACGAATACTGCGCTGACCTCCCTCGTCTTCCCCGGTAATGGTGAGGGAGGGGGGGGGGGTTTGTTGGGTGTCCGTTAGTGGACAGCCTCGCTGTTTGGGTGTCTGTTGGTCCGTTGTTCTCGTGGTAGGCAGCCTCGCTACCTGTCTGTTGGTCCGTTAGTGTCGCGGTGGGCAGCCACGCTACCTGTCTGTTGGTCCGTTAGTGTCGCGGTGGGCAGCCACGCTACCTGTCTGTTGGTCCGTTAGTGTCGCGGTGGGCAGCCACGCTACCTGTCTGTTGGGCCGTTAGTGTCGCGGTGGGCAGCCACGCCACCTGTCTGTTGGTCCGTTAGTGTCGCGGTGGGCAGCCACGCTACCTGTCTGTTGGTCCGTTAGCGTCGCGGTGGGCAGCCACGCTACCTGTCTGTTGGTCCGTTAGTGTCGCGGTGGGCAGCCACGCTACCTGTCCATTGGTGTGTGTATCGACACGGGAGACACTTTGAGCAATCGATGGCAGAGTTGTATGGTGGGAGTGTTATTATTACGTTGATGTCCCAGCAATTACCGGTCGTTTCATGATACTGTTGAATAATAATTGACTAATGACAAGCTTATAATTAGTCATCCCGAGTAATTAGTCGGTAATTCCGTAACAGCAGTACACTTCAGGGAACTGTGTGCTGGGAGCTTGTTACACCTGGAAGATGTCATCATAATTATATATCAGTGTAAATCTTATTGTTCACTAGTGATGATTAGTTGAAATCTCACACATTATCGAAATGGAATAGTTAGTGGTGAGTTGTGTAAACATTTGGGTCTCTGGAGTTGGGAGTGTTGCTTCAACCACCAGGGGGATTTTTGAAGGATTCAGAAAGGCTTGCTTCAAAGGCTTTATAGAGCTTGTGGACTTGAGAAATGTTTGATATCCGACTGCCTCTGGTCTGTACATTTGGCCTGGTCGGTACAAGCGACGTCTTGGGTTCTGGCAGAGTCGGTGTTCGATCCCCCCAATGTCTGAAGTAATTGAGCATCGTATCTTAATTACCCCCCTTTCTCGTCTGCCAGTACTAATAGGTCCTAGTGTCCTGTATAGCCGTACTGGTTTAGTGCTCTCCCCTCGAGTCGCAGCTCTCAGTCTATCTCATCTCTCTCTCTCTCTCTCTCTCTCTCTCTCTCTCTCTCTCTCTCTCTCTCTCTCTCTCTCTCTCTCTCTCTCTCTCTCTCTCTCTCTCTCTCTCTCTCTCCCATGTGATCTGTCATTATACTGACTTGTTGTATTTCTGCTCATAACTTCCTGAATTTAAGTGACTTTTTTTTTAAATTTACTGCTCTGCGGAAAGTACCCGGGGCCAGATTCATGAAGCAGTTACGCAGGCACTAACGAACCTATCCATCTTTTCTCAATCTTTGGCGGCTTTGTTTACAATTATTAAACAGTTAATGAGCTCCGAAGCACCAGGAGGCTGTTTATAACAATAACAACAGTTGATTGGGAAATTTTCAGGCTTGCAAACTATTTAATAAATGTAACCAAAGTCGTCAAAGATTGAGTCAAGATGTACACGTTCGTAAGTGCTTGCGTAACTGCTTTGTGAATCCGGGTCCTGGTAACTTACCCACTGTGCAGGCGACAGGTTGTTCCCGAGAATAAAAGTTCGACTTCCACCAAGATTCTTGCACTTGTAACTAAATCTCTAGTCAGCAAATCCACAAGGGCCGTGATGAGGGTTCGAACCTGAGCGCTGGATGTTGCCAGACGCCCTCTAGTGTTATGTTCAGTAAGAGGCTGAACAGGTAGTGGGATGTATCGCCTCTACTGTGGCCCAACTGGTTGTAATTCGGTAACTTAACCAATGATTTGATCCGAGGAGTGATGATTGCCTCATCTATGACTTAGGTCTTGTCTGTCTCTGCCTGTGTGTATTTACTATTTGTGCCTGCAGAGTCGAGGTATTGGCTTTTGGACCCCGCCTTGAGCTAACAGCTCGATTCTGCAGGTATTAGATACGGTGTGTGTGTGTGTGTGTGTGTGTGTGTGTGTGTGTGTGTGTGTGTGTGTGTGTGTGTGTGTGTGTGTGTGTGTGTGTGTGTGTGTGTTCACCTAGTTGTGCTTGCACGGAGGGTGAACATGGTGACCTGTTTATATTGTCTGTGGCATTTTCTGTGAAACAAACTGTTTTTTTCCCCCGTGTTTACATATAAACAAACCATAGTATACTGTATGTGATATTAATCGAGGCTTGGGTTACGGTGAACTCTTGCATTTGTCTGAAAATGTTTGAAAGTGATTTATTAACTCCCACGAAACATTTGGGGTTCACAGATATGAACCTGAGGCCAGATTCACGAAGAAGTTACGCAAGTACTTACGAACGTGTACATCTTTCCTCAATCTTTGACGGCTTTGGTTACATTTATTAAACAGTTTACAAGCCTGAAAACTTGCCAATCAACCGTTGTTATTGTTATAAACAGCCTCCTGCTGTTTCGGAGCTCATTAACTGTTTAATTATTGTAAACAAAGCCGCCAAAGATTGAGGAAAAATGTACAGGTTCGTAAGTGCTTCGGGAATCTGGCTCCTAATCGTCAACAGCTTTCACTCACCTTCACCTCTCGTAGATTCATCGCTTCATCCCACGAGTAAAATTTTCTCTTCATTCTGTAAAATGTAGATTTTGTTTATTAATTCAATATGGCATGCGGTTGCGTAAACAAAAATTCTATTTTTTTTATTCATTAGATACATTTACATATCGAGCTTGCTTATAGTAATAAAGCGAACGAGGACAGGGAGAGAGAGAGACAGGGAGAGACGGAGACAGGGAGAGACAGAGACACAGAAAGAGAGAGACAGGAAAAGACAGAGAGAGACAGGGAGAGACAGAATAAACAGGGAGAGACACAGACAGAGAGAGACAGAGACAGGAAAAAACAGAGAGAGACAGGGAGAGACAGAGACAGAGACACAGACAGACAGTGACAGGAAAAGACAGAGACAGGGAGAGACAGACAGGAAAGACACAGAGAGACAGGGAGACAGAGACAGGGAGAGACAGAGAGAGGGAGAGAGAGGGGGAGAGAGAGAGAGAGAGAGAGAGAGAGAGAGAGAGAGAGAGAGAGAGAGAGAGAGAGAGAGAGAGACAGGGAGATACAGAGACAGGGAGATACAGAGACAGGGAGATACAGAGACAGGGAGATACAGAGACAGGGAGAGACAGAGACAGGGAGAGACAGAGAGAGACAAAGAAAGAAGAGGGTCAACACCACCCTCTCACCCACCTCTTGATGGCCACCTTCTCGCCCGTGTCGATCCTCTGGCCCAGCACCACGGAGCCGTACGTGCCCGTGCCCAGCTCGTTCAGCGTCACGTATCTATTCATGCTCACGGCCATGCTCCCGTTGGCACGCCCATACGTAGGCACCAGCACGCTCCGGACACGCCCACCACCCACGCCCACCACCCACGCTCACCTCCTCCGGGCCTGGCCTGTCGGGAGAGGAAACAACGGTCAGAGTTACGGAGTTATGAGGAAAGATTTAGATAATTTAACAGTACATAGACTCGCCTCAATTTAAAAATATGAAACTGGTTTTCTGTTGAGTATTCTAACTTGGTACAATTATTTCCCTGAATTTTTAGGTTTTACTGAACTGTTAAAAATATGTTTAATTGCTAACTAACGTGAGGACGTATGCTTCAGGAAGTATATATCATATTATTATAATTGTGATAATTGAATTATTATTATATTATAATTGTATTCTAATATAATGACATAATATTAATAGTATTATAATTCTAACAATCTCTAGAAAGACTAAGGGGTGACAGGATTGAAATATATAAATGGGGGAACAAAGGTATAGGAGAGAGGAATATGAATAAGGCTGTAAATGTTTCAATACAATATAGAACGTGAAACTATGAATATATATATTGAATAACGTTATGTTTACGAAGGCCCTGGGTAAATACTGGTTTGATAATAAGAGTTTTTGGATGTATGGAGCAATTTTCGTTACCAATAGACAAATTATCAATAAAAAGAGGTATTACTTGAGTGATTCAAGCGTAGATTAAACATTATATATATATAATGGATCATATATATATATATATATATAATGGATATATATATATATATATATATATATATATATATATATATATATACATGTATATATATATATATATATATATATATATATATATATATATATATATATATATATATATATATATATATATACACGCACTACTCGGCCGAATACATGTAAATATTTTCTGGTATGATGAAATTTAAGTAAAATAAATTTAACACTTGTTCTATCATGTTTAGAGGATCCAGCTTAGAGGATCAAATTTAGTGGATCGAACTTACAGGCTAGAGGTTATACTTGAGGACGGGGGTGGGGGGTGGGGGGGTGTAGGATTAGTGTAACTGTGTTGGTCAGTATTGAAGTCATTACTGAAGGTCAGATTTAATAAGCGATCATAATAGGTTTATGGCCGTCGTGGTGTAATCATCGGCCTCTGACATTTAGACATTGCTAATTACTTGGAAGCCCGCAAGGGGGGGTGGCGATCGGCAGGGCTGTTGGGGGTGGTGAACAGCATATGGGCGTTGGTGTGGTTGGCAGCATGGGTATTGTGGGGGGGGGGTCAACATGGGTATCAACAGGGTACTGTGGTATGGTATTAGGAGGATTTTTTACAGCATTTTCGTGGTGGTTGACAAAGTTATCCTGAGCACTTTAAGCATCTGAGCTCCCACGGCATTATACTGACGGCTCCCACAACATCATACTGACGGCTCCCACAACATCGTACTGACGGCTCCCACAACATAATACTGAGTTCCTGCCAATTAACATGGGTTGCCTGGGAGTGTTTACTCCCATGACTCTTGTTGAATGGGTAACTTGGCTGGTGCCCTGACTCATGGGAGATGTCGCTGACCTCATGGTGAGGGAGTGGGTGACGTGGTTGACCCATGGTCTGACCTCATGGTGAATGGGTAACTTTGATAACCCATGGTAATTGCGTTGGTCAAATGAGTCCTGTTGAGTGTGACGTGGTTGACTCATAGTGAGTGACGTAGCAGGCTTCATGACCCAGGGTGAATAAGTGATCCCCCCACCCCCCCACCCCCCCTTCATGACCCAGGGTGAATGAAATGATTACGTCACGGTGATCACGGCAGATCACCGTGACGTAACGTCAAGAGAGAGAGATAGAGGGGGGGGGGGTGTTGCAGAGATGGGGTGGGTGGAGGGCAACAATTGATCACAGTACCAGGAATGACAGAAGCAGTCTTGCATGTTGCATGAGTCTCAAGACTGTGCAGATCACCGTTGCACAGCTTCATACGACCATAATTCTGCCCCCTTTGCTACCATACGCCTCTTGCTTTAAACGGGGATATCAGCACGCTAATGGTAGCGTTATCTAATAGCTAACTGCAAAGTAATGGGTGTGGTCTAATGCCACATTTGGACGTTTCGACAAAACTTGATTTTTGTATTATCAAAACCGTATATATTCTTAAGTTAGGCTGTGTTAGGTTGGGTTAGGTTTGGTTGGGTTGGGTTACGCCTCGCAAACTCCCGCTTCGAACAAGAGTCGTGTATTTAGTCGTGTATTTAACCCCCATAATGCAATCTAACATTCCCAAATCTGCATTGTTAGCCTGCATCCTGGGAGCTATTTGAACTTCTCTAAGGGCATTTGTCTCTCTCTCTCTCTCTCTCTCTCTCTCTCTCTCTCTCTCTCTCTCTCACACACACACACCACACACACACACACACACACCACACACACACACACACACACACACACACACACACACACACACACACACACACACTCCCTCGCCTGGACTTTCTTTTCAGCTTGAATAAAACATAATTACCAACTGAATAAGATAGTTTACCCCTCGCCTCCAAGCAATCTTTACGGTATTAACCACGACTCTTTAGCGTGCGTGTGTGTGTGTGTGTGTGTGTGTGTGTGTGTGTGTGTGTGTGTGTGTGTGTGTGTGTGTGTGTGTGTGTGTGTGTGTGTGTGGAGCGCGGGGTAACCTGCGGGCGACACTTGAGTCCCATCGATTATTGCGTGCGTGTGTGTGTGTGTGTGTGTTTTTGATGATGAACTGTATGGTGACGAGAAGCAGCTGTGGCGGTGGAGGTTGTTGGGCACAGTCGCTACCTGCCATCATCAACCTTCCACCTACATCATATGGCATTTGATTGATAACACTGTGACATCAACCTGCGCTCAGGTTACGTCTCATCTCCGTTTTCTTTACACACACACATATATATATAACAACACGTTATCTCCTAGAATATAACATAAATGCTATATATATATATATATAGGATTTTGCTGCAATGTTATAGATATATATATGATACAGCAGCTGGCTCAAAGGTATAGGAACAACCACTATAGGAGGCAGATATAAGCAGAGGACCCACGATTAGAAAACGGTGTATTATGCCAATATCGCGAATCGCTCCCACTTTCTTGTACATCAGTGTTTGGTCTTAGATAACCAATACGTCAAAATACGACGTGCTATTACGAGCACCAGGTTGGGAACCGAACCGGGGGGCCCCCACGAACCCAACCCGTGGCAACCCGTCAATACAGCGAGGCGCTGCGATTGGTTCATTATATGTTCATTTGGTTCATTATATGCAGGCCGAGGATATGGTCAACATAGCTCATCATATTTGGACGTTGAGGATTGATGGGTCACTATGCGACGTATTAGTCCAGAGGACAGATTGATCTAAGATGATTATTGATCTAAGAAATATTAATGATTAAAGAATTAATTAAACGTCGGCCTGGTCAAATGTACAGCAGTAATAATTAGAACACTGCCCGCGCCTAATGTGCCTTAATTACACAGGTGCAGTGAACCAGGTACAGTGAACCAGGTACAGTGAACCAGGTACAGTGAACCAGGTACAGTGAACCAGATACAGTGAACCAGGTGCAGTGAACCAGGTGCAGTTGCAGTGTAATATAAGGCTTCACACAGAGAGAGTCCTCTCTGACTTGGGAGAGGCCGCCTGCTGCAGCATCGAACCCTGACTGATGGAACCGCCGAGCGAGGAATTAACACCCCCCAATTGGTCCCGGTGGCTAGTCTCAACGGTGCTTCACTTTACAACGGTAAAATAATGGAATTGCTAAGCACCTTTGAGTAATCTAAAGATGTGTCAAAAAGTGTTGAATGCGTAGATTCGTTCATTCCCCCCCCACCCCCCGCATGAACCTCTTTTATAGTGACTCAAGTCAACTTGTAAGATAATGTTTGTAGATTTTCGTGTAATATTCAGTGTATTGAAGTTGGAGAAATTGAAATGTGAGGAGAAGAATGGCTAAAATATGAAGCGAGAGAGAGCAAATTTATTGGAAAAGCTAAAATGGAGAGATAGAAAAAAAAAACGAGGGAGGGAGTGGGATGGTGGGTCAGACCTGGAGGAGGTGGGAGGACATGGGAGAACATGGGATGGGGAGGAATGGAAAAGGTTGTCAAGAGGTTGTACTGACGCATTAACAAACCTACATGGGATATCCCCCAATATATATATATATATATATATATATATATATATATATATATATATATATATATATATATATATATATATATTAATCACCGATAAATTTGAAATACTATCCAAATACCCACACTGAACCTGTTACTTAAACTATGCCATATTCTATCTCATAGGAGAGTACAAAAGTCCTAAATATATATACAATACCAATTCTATACATTACTACAGTAACAGCATACAAAAAAGCTACTTTCGTGATTTCCAACAATTTGTATTAAGTAATGTTAATCCAACAATTTGTATTAAGTAATAGTAATCCAACAATTTGTATTATGTTAATCCAACAATTTGTATTAAGTAATGTTAATCCAACAATTTGTATTAAGTAATGTTAATCCAACAATTTGTATTAAGTAATGTTAATCCAACAATTTGTATTAAGTAATGTTAATCCAACAATTTGTATTAAGTAATGTTAATCCAACAATTTGTATTAAGTAATGTTAATCCAACAATTTGTATTAAGTAATGTTAATCCAACAATTTGTATTAAGTAATGTTTTTTTTAATTTTGCCAGTGTTAAGGAGCAATTACAGAAGTGGCTCTCATCTGGGACATGAATATGTCAGTAGACTCCATCGCTGCCAGGTGTACGAAAGGTCAGGGGAGCTAAGTCGTGGAGTCCTTGTGGAGTGATCATGTTACGACGTGATGGCATCAGTATATCTCTTGCTGTAAACATGTCTTAGTTAACTTTTGTATCATTATTATTATTATTGTTGAAAAAATCTGTGGGAGCCGTGAGGACGATTCGAACCAGCGGGTTCGAATTCTCCTTTGTCATTGATATATCACGCTAATGTGATTTCATTGTATGTTATTATTATTAT